TCTAATATTCTATTTGGTAACTTTATATGAGAATTATTCAAAACTTCCCATTGTTTATTTCTCTCCGACTTTACAGCCACAGTCTAATGCAGGGATGGCCAACAGTTTTTAACCCCGGGCCGAATTGGAAAGAAAACTTTTTTCACGGGCCGAACCAGAGGCTGCCCTAGGAAGATTTTTGGGTGGTGCAAGATCTCATTGTGGTGTCACCCCGTAGAGACTAAATTGTACAGTACTGTACATAGAGATTGCAGATACATTTTTCACATTCTCATGCTTTACCAACATTCTACGCTGTACTTAATACTTAAGAGATTTGTAATGGAGGGTTAACTCTAAACGCACAGTGAGTTGTTGACTTTTTTTTTTTTTAGGCGTCAGAATTTTTCATCGAGCTATTCGGACTTGAGTAGCTGATATTGAAAGATTAATCGCAGGCCGCATAAATTCATTAGACGGGTCGGATCCGGCCCGCGGGCCGTATGTTGGCCATGCCTGGTCTAATGCATTCTGTTTCTACAAGTCGAAGTAGTTTCGAGATCACATTTCAATAATTCGAAATTTAATATCCGGAGACCCGCACTACCACCTTGTACACAGGTATTATATATGCTGTATTCTGTATATCTTGTATTATGTTTCTCTCTTACTCCCATCAATAAATGTGTTGCTGGCGCCCATGATCCTACCCCTTCACCACCTATCCTATCTCTCTTTCCATTTCACCTTCACCCTTCTCCTAAACCTCTCTTTCCTTCCCATTTCACCCTCGAGCGATACCACTGAGTAGTCTCGAGCTTTCACCCCCTTCCCAGTAATAATAATAATAATATCCGGAGACTATTTTGTCTAATTTTGTGTGCTTTCTTTTTCAAGTTCAGGGAAATGGATGACATTAACACAAATTTAAATACAGTAGACCCCTATAACGCGGGTTCCTATAATGCGGCGAAAAAATTGCGACAGTATTCGTATAAAGACACTAAAAGGGATGCGTAAAACGTCATCGCCGACTCGTGTCGCGACAGGATTGGTCGAATCTAGACCAATAGTAGACGAGCAGCCGAACTACTTACACGCTATGGAGAGTTTAGAGGGATAAGTTGAGTTTACTATCGTCTGTACAGTATTATTATCGACTGTACAATATTAACTTAATTTATTTTAACTTTATTATAATTATATATATACTTTCCGCCGTCCAGCGCCACGCTACGGAGAGTTTAGGCGAGTAAGTTGAGTTTACTATCGTCTGTACAGTATATAAATTAGGTACTGCAAGTCTAATACAGTGCTGTAATTTTATACATTTCTTGTGAAAAAAACATTTCTTATTCAACGGCCATAAAAATTATTTCTATTAATGATGTTTCCAAAGTTCAACGAATTTTTCGCAGAAAAATAACTTATCAGAAATCGCGGCCGCCGTTTGGTGCGCTGCTCCGCGACGAAAACAAGCTTAAGCAACGGTGATGTCGAACGGTGCACACTCAGTAAGTAATCCTACAATTTTTTGTTTATAGCATAGTTTATACGGATTATTCCCAAAAAATTATACGTATTTTGGAAATGTTGAGTCGAATTAGTCTAGAATCGATTAATTTTATGGAAGAAAACCTTTCAAACAGCCGTAGTCCGTAAACTTCACACGTGTCGGGCTGTGATTGGCTCATGTATTTAAGGATTCCTACAACGCGAAATTCTTATAAAGCGGAACATATCTACTGCGTTATAGGGGGTCTACTGTACTGTATTGACATTGTATAGAATTATGCCTCTAATTGCACGACATTACTTTTGGCTCGGAATTTTGAATTTTAAAGATCTTATTCTTAAACGCAAATTGATCGATCAAATCGTTAGCGCTTTAAAGAAACAAGAAGTATCCATCACAATGATCTCGGAAGAAAGCAAAAAAATAAAATTAGAAATTGAGAAAAAATTTGACATTTCTCTCCCTACATATCTGGGAAACAAGATTTTGGAAAGCTTTAATAAATAGCAATCAGACAGAACAGAAAAGCAAGCGTATGTGTGAGTATCTAGATGCTGAAAAGTGGTTGGTACAGTACATTTTATCCAGTGAATATTTCCGTCGACAGAAAACTTCTTACAGAAAAAGCTGAACAATTATGATAACAGTTGTGACAGACCGGATTCAAAGCAAACAGTGCATTGAATATTTCCAATAAAATCTGTGATAAAAGCGATGTGGTTGAAATTTACCAGGAATTGTTCAGAACTATACAGTCCGAATGGCGTTTTTGACACACAAAACGGGCTTACTTATTAAAATGTTTGCTGGAACAGAACTGGTGTTTAAATATGATTCATATCAGAGATTTTTAAAATTATTTTCGCTCTATAGGCATTAAGAAGGCCCTTTTTATCAAGTCCACTGTGGTTCGTCAAAGGTCCACAATGGGGCGGCCGATTATTAAGGAAATTTTTCGGCGGTCCGACATACGCGACCCCCAAAACATTTCTGGGGTTTTCGACATATCCGGATTTGATCCCAGATTCTCCAGGGCCGCAGACTTACTCAAGAACTGTAAAAACGATGGCTAATTAAATGATTTGTTTACATTATCTTAATTCGTTCCTGTGGAAGGCAATTGAAAAATAGGCTTAAAAACAAACTGTTATTTAAAAATAAAAACATTTCGACTATTTAATAATTTTATAAATTAAAGTGTACAGTATTTAAATGCAATTAAAATGACTTATTAAATGATAAATTAGCCGCATTATCGATAATGGAATTATAAAACGAGTTTAGATTCGCTTCCATTTTTTAGCGTATTTTAAAATACGTCCAACATGGAAGCAATATTTTCACTATTTAATAATTTTATAAATTAAAATATACAGTATTTAAATGCAATTAAAATGACTTATTAAATGATAAATTAGCCGCATTATCGATAATGGAATTATAAAAGTTTAAACATAAAAATGTGGAGTTTTTAATGTGGAAAGTGTAAAATAACAATATGGTTATCGTTTTTAAACATTTGAGCAATTGCAAGATCTTCATGAACAAAAAAAAAATTTTTTTACTGATAGGGATGATCCATTGGAATGATAATTTGATTATTCAAATCATTTAAATGAATCCATCACTAATTATTATTATTTTATACCCAGAATCTTTATTTTTCAAATTAATTAATTTCCAAATATTTGTGTAATATAAACATAATAGTTAATTAAAATTGGATATTATAAATACAGTAGACTCCCCCTAAAACAATGTAGATAATTCCGTGTTATATGAATTCCCTGTTGTACGAGTCACTTAGATTTTATAAATACGTGTGCCGGCTGTGAACGGCTCACATATTTGTAAAATCTAAGCGACTCGTACAACATGGAATTCATATAACACGGAATTATCTACTGTGTTATAGGGGGGGTCTACTGTAATTATAAGAATTATAATAATTATTTATTTACTTTTATTATTTCTCATGTTTTCTAGTTTGTGGAGAATTGGCATGTTTGGATATCCTAATGGAAGCTGGAGCTTTTCCTTCCACGCCAGATATTCATGGAGCATATCCCATACATTATGCCGCTCAGATGTGTGGTCCTAATAGCGAAATGGGAAACGATGTAAAGATCGGATTAGCAGCCCTTCGAAAACTATTGAGTTGGGGTGTCGAAGTCGACGTTAGCGATCAAGATGGCCGTCAACCACTTCTATGGGCAGCTAGTGCAGGTATGCATTCTTATTCTTATCGTATTTATACAAATTATTATTATAATTAAAATTGTAGTTAGTTCTAGTTGTATATAAATATCATTGAATATTTATAATTGCCTGAAACTATAAATATTTCACTGCAAAAATTGAAACTTTTTGAAATTTTAAAAGCTATTTTCCATCCCAGATTAAATGTCTTTTTATATGGTAATGATTTACTTGAATTTTTCAAGATTCTGAAATATAACAGTAGCTTATATAGATCTAAATTATTGGCTGTTTAAGTGAGGTTATTCTTATTCTCTTAGAAGCGTTTCTGTATTGGAAGATTCTCAAGGGGATGAGATATCGATATCGAATAAAAATAATGGAATAAGGACAAGGTATAAAATTCGATCGATAATAGACTCTTATCTTGATNCACAATACTCCTGTGGTTCGTCACGCTCCGTACTCTCTCCATATGGCTCCGTGTGACCTTTGGCTATTTCTCAAGCTGAAAATGCCGCTAAAAGGAACCCAAATTTAGTCGAGAGAAGACATCATGCGAAATGCGACGGACCGGCTGATAACCATTCCAAAAGATGCGTTCCAGCAGTGTTTCCAGCAATGGCAGGAACGCTGGGAGAAGTGTATACATTACCAAGGAGACTACTTTGAAGGGGATTAGGGTTTTGTATCCCAAAGTCAATAAATTTATTTTTGCCGACCAAAGGTCCGATACTTTTTGAACAGACCTTGTATATCGAGTAATTTTTTCTATGATATGTTGCCTATCATTTTTCAAGTAAATTTTTTTAAAAAATGATGCTGGATAACCCTAAATAACCAAGAGATTATGACAAACGAAAATGTCGAACTCTTATAAAATACGAATAAATTTAACATATCCAAAATAAGTTCAGAATTTTTTAAATTCTGAAGAAATCAATTCAGATTCCAACGAAATCTTGCATAGACTCTTCAGCCATATTTTTTAAACAAATGTAATGCGAAGAATGTTTCTTTACTAATAAAAAGCAGTATTAAAGATTTAATCTTCTGTTAGTAACATTAATTTTATATGAGAAGGAATCATTACTGATCCAAACTTTCTCTGAGCTAGGAGAAAAATCTCCACCCCTCTCGAAGGCCCTGACTAGAAATATTGCGAATATTCATTTGTCTTTCATTTATAGATTGTCAACAGCATCAGATTCGTTCTACAGGGTGGCCTGTAAGCCAATGCATAATAGGCAAAATGTAATGTACAGTGAAACCTACTAATATGCAAGATGACCACTTTGAGCTGGCCCCTTCATTGGTCTCATTAGCTCTGGTTTCACTATAATTGACTTTTCCGTTTCAGGAGAATATTAACGCGACACGAATACCTGTGAAATGGCTTCCTTGGAGGGTGTCCACACTAGGAGGGAGGAATGGGAATTATGACAAGTCGGACAAAATCGGATAAGGGGAGGGGGGGGGTTGAACTTCAATGGACGTCCGATTTCATTAAATTTTATGAATAATAAACTGCATAAACTATATAAAGTGATAAAGATTTTAAGAGTTGAGTTTTGTTGGATGTTCGAAGGGAGAGGGTTACGTAAACTTGGTCAAACTGAGAAAAGAGGGGGGGAGTAAAAATTGTTAAGAAAAATGCGGACGTAATTTGTGGACACCCCCTTATCGTCCGCACCTCATCCCAATGAATTCTTACCTGTTGGGTCTTTAGGTCCCACATTTATAAACAGATCTTGCCACTTACATTGTGATGAGTCAGAATCACAGACATGTCAGGCCGTAACTGGACATCTTCCAAGGTGTCTACAATGATTGAATCACCCGTCTGAGACTGTGCAACATGACAGCAATCACATCGAACGTATCACCTAAAAAGCTTTTTCACTTATGGTGCGTGACTTATGGGACCCCCTAATTAATAGTGTGTACAGTACTATGTTTAAAATATCAGAGTTACAAAATAACATTAGGCTATGGTAATTGCGAGTTTACAATAATTTCTATATTTCGTTAACAATTCATTTGTTAATTAAATATAATCATAAACGACGATTTTAACACTGACTGATCAAGTTACTTCATTCCTATTCTATGACCTAATTTTGATTAATTAAAGACTTCTCATGCCCGTTGACTCAGACTTATTCTATTCACAGATGCAATTGATAGTTTCGATATAATAAATTCAGAATTTTTCAGTATTCTTAAAGTATTGCATTATTTTATAGTTATATTTACGATCTATTATGACCTGCTAGAACTTCAAGTTGCCTATTCTACTTCTCCCACGCCCACGGTCGACCTTTGACATGGTAACAGGTTGTCTTACGTCATCAGGATGTTCGTTAGTTAAATGTAAGTGTAGTATTCTTTCTATGGAATGGGAAGACGAGCGAAAATGCATGGTGAAAACGAAATGTCAAACGTAAGTATTTTAATCTAGCAACTTTTAATAAGTACTTTTAATTTTAAATATTTAAAAATAAGCAATTTAAAAATCCTATGTGGATCTCTAGAATGATTGCATATTTTTCTTTAACAACTCATTTATAATTTCCTAATTTGTCAATATAACTCTTAATTAAAAAAAATTGTTTCTGAAGATTTTCTCCTTTTCAATATAACAATTTTTTATTGTAAATATGTGAATATACTACATTATGAATTTTAAATTCCCTTACAGGTTACACACAGCATTTAATACAACTTTCAACTTGGTATTCATTCTATAAATTAAATTATAGATTGAATATGATTTTAATAATAATTTTTTATTGCAATTTTTCCAAAATTTAGTTTCAAAAAATTTTTTTTGTAATTCAATATTATGGTGATGTAATTAAACAACTTGCATAAATTTAGTTTTAAATGTTATGATTAAAATCATTTAAAAATAAAAATTTATATAATGCAACAAAACTAATTAAGATAAATTATTCCATTTAAATGTAATGGTTAGTTGATTTACTTCATTTGAGTTATTGTACACTATATGTGATTTCAAGAACACAAACTGATGTATCATACAGTGATTAGATGAGTTTAAAAAAATTCTAAAGTAGGTGTGTTTCTATTAAATTATATTATTAAGTTATTTTATTGAAAAATATTCTCAATATTTTTTTATGGCTTCCTTCAGATTCAACTATTATAAAAAAATGTTGAAATTAAGGTACTGAAGTGTATGTTCTGGTGCAAATTGCAATTTTTAAATATATAAAAAGGCTAGCACTACCTACAATAGAGTTATAAGTGGGAATTCAGTTTTCAGATGTAAAAGTTTTGGATAAATAATGATAAAATATTAAAAAAAGAAAAGTAATGTCCAAAACACTACAATCGTAATGTTTCTTCTTCAGGAAAAATGGCTTTGTAAAGTTATTCCTCCTGAAGAAGACATTTTGTCTGAGCTTTTTACACACAAAACTGAATTATCTTCACTTATAATTATGATTTTCAATTTTTAAATAAAAATTTCTGAATTATTTATTTGTATTAAATAAAAAAAATTAACTAACTCCCAAAAACATTAGTCAAATAAAAATGAAAATGTTTAAAAGATCTTTCTATAAAAATAGCATATTAGATATTTAATATCACAGAATGTTCTTCACTAATTCTCTATTTACAAAAAAGAAAACTGGATTTGGTAGAATTGGTTAAATTAATTTAGTAGTAAATGAATTTGTATTTCTTTTCGAAGAAAACTGAAAATTGCAAAAATTAATAACATCATCCATTGATATTAAACTGGAATATGATGAAACAGGAAAATATAAATTATTTTAAAAAGTTGTCAGGAAGTCTGCATTCCATCTTCATGAGAGATATTTGAAATAATTGAATATTTTTAGTTATTATTATTAATTTGGTAATAAAAAAAAAATACAAACATTGAGAGAAATCATCAGAAAACATTAATCAATAGAAAATATACTGAAATTTGTATTTTGGAGTACACAGATATCTTATTATTAAAATTACATTTACAAAATCAAATTTATTGAGGAGGAATGATACCGAACCATTTTGAGTAATACCTAATTAAATGTAAATAATTTTCTCAACTCAAAACCACAAATAACAGTACCAGTAACTGAGAGCCAAACATGTTAAAAAATGACACAATATTCCAATGGATATTTTGATAAGTATATTTTGTATGATTTAATCTTCAAGAAGACTTGTTTTTTAATCAATTTTACTTCTACAGTTAGAAAATTAATAGATAAATATATTTTTAAAATTTTCTAAACTCAATGTAATCTATCAATAACAAATTATTGATAGAGGAAAAAAATATATATTTTCAATATTACATTATTATAAAGTTATTTAGATTAAAAAAATAACATTCCTTCTATTGTAGAATGCTGCATCCACTTCTTTCTGAACTTTCTCTTATTGCACTCCAGTTCCATTATTATTGTTGGCTTTCATTTGTTTACAAACTTTTTCAGTTGGCACCAGACTTTATCAATCAGATTCGTATCTGGGTATTTGGTGATCATGACAAATGTGTTAAGTGGCTTGCCCGAAGAAAATATTTACACATTTAGCCCTATGGCAATTGTCATCTTGAAACACCATCTCATCATCTCCATACTGATCTTCAGTCATTGGTTGCTAGAAATGTTTCAGACTTTCCATATATATTGACTGTTACATTAGTTTGAAGAGTAGAAAGTTTGCCTTGTCCTTTCCAAGATAACAGACTGGAGTAATTTGGAAGATTTCTTGAGACACTGTGGAAGTTTTTGTTGCTCTTCATCCAGACAAACACACTGATGTCATTGCCTTGACCCAAGCAATTGTGCAAATTATGTTTCCATTCCTTACAGTCCATTCTTTGAGTGCTTTTTTTTTCTACTTCAATCTGTAGATGATTAATTCTTTGATGTAGCTGGTTGAACTTTTCTTTACTTTTTGAAAGCCATAGCCCATTGCTCTGCTTCTCACTGTTTTATCACTGAAATTAACTCCACTTTTCCCACTCATGATTTTAATTCTTTTGATGTTATAAAACTTGTTTGACAGACCATTATGAAAAATCTGTTCTGTCACCTTTCTCACTAGTCTTCCATTTTCTGTCTTGATCACCACTTTTTATTTTTTTTTAACTGAAGCAGTGAATTGATTTTTCTTCCACAAGTTTGATATTAGTACTGTACTTTGTACTCATCCAGACACTTGCAATTTGTTTGTAAGCATCCTTCCTGTACTAGTCTAATAACCTGTCTGTGCAACCTCTTAGCCATTTTGTTATAAGGATACATCTGTGAAAGTGGAAGATATATAAACAGATGATGAGATGACCTCAAGCAGAAAAATGAGCAGTCTAAAATGTTCAAAGGGAGAGAATGAAAAGAAATAAAATAATAAGCCACATACAATGAAATCACACAAATGTACTTCAAAAGTTGTTTTTATAAACAACTTTAATGCACTTCTATCACTGGCATTATGTATGAACTGTATAAACAGTTCATACAAGAGTGCCAGTGATAGAAGTGCTTTCTCTTAGTAATTGGAAGCACTGGTGGTAAAAATTGGTTTTGCCTCAGGTGTAAATTACCATCAAGCCAGCACTGTTTATGAAATATGAGTCATGCTTATTTGTTCAGGAATTACTAATATCAATTATTTCTATCTTTGGACAAAAATAATTAATTCAGTTTAACAAAAGTGTGGAGATACATTTTTTGATTACAAGCATAAAAAGTTTCTTTAAGAAAAGTTTGGCATTCACATGAACTCAAAGTGACACTTCATTGTTATATTGCATACAACCCATGGAAAAAAGGAATTGATAATTTTTTTACACTTCCAAACAATTCAAATATATAAACAAAGTCAGTACAGAGTTTAGGAATTTTGTGTGTATTTGTTTGTTATAACAAACAATTCCTAAATTTCTAAACCCTGTACTGACTTTAATATGAAAAATTTATTTTCATATTAATTTTATGTTAATGTTAAGTTATAAAATAAGTACAAGACTTCTATTTTCTTTCATGGTACAAAATTAATCTAATTTAAACTATTTTAATTTGTTCACCTACATTAAAGTGTAGTCCAGAGAAAGCTGGGTTTTTCTTTTTTTTAATATTCTTGTAAAGATATTGTTTTGTGAAATTTTATTATAATACAGGTAACCCCCGTATAACATGGCACTTCTACAGCATGGATTCGCTCTAACACGGTTTGAGAATTGGTACCATCCCCCGTATAACACGGTACTTTTATAGCACGGATTCGCTCTAACACGGTTCGAGAATTGGTACCATCCCCCGTATAACACGGTACTTTTATAGCACGGATTCACTCTGACACGGTTCGAGAATTGGGTAAAACCCTCGTACAACAGGAAATGTAATAAATTTTTACATACTTAAGTAATAATAGTTCACGAAAATTATTATTTTCGTGAACTATTAGTACTTAAGTATGTAAATTTTCTCTTCTCGCCTTCTGTCGATACACGTGGTCCTTCTCGAAACTTGTTTCAATGTTGCCAGATCGCGACGCTTCTGCTTCTGATGTTGCCGAATGTTTTTCCCTTATTCCATACTTGCTTTATTCTTCATAAGTGCTTAGCACCATATAAGGAAATTTATAAAGACCTTTTAACTAGAAGCAAGCAATCTAAAATTACATACATTTTGCAAAAGGTAAAGCATGGATCTGAAGATAATGCAGAAAAATGCTCAGAGGATAAGGATAACTTGCCAAAAAGAAAACGCTCTCGGTTAATTAATAGTGTTTTTAGTGATGACGAAGAAAACATTGTTTAATTTATATTAATATGTATCACTTAAAAAAATTTTAATGAAGATATTTATCTTAATTATGAAAATATACTAGCATGTTTTTTAATTTTTGGAACCTAACCCTCCTTTTCGTATTAGTTCTTTGTTTCGTATAACACGGATTCGCATAACCTGGCAATTTTTTGGAACGTAACTACCGTGTTATATGGGGTTACCTGTATATTAATTTTAATATTACTTTGATTTTAATGATTTTTTCTAGTACGTAATTCTAACAAATATAATAAATGAAAAAGGTACAGATCCCCATATGTTACTCAGAAGTTACAATTTGTGTTGGAAATGAAGGATAGCATAAGTTAATTTTTCTTCACATTCTGGATGGCATCTTTCTCTTTAACAGTTGGTAATCAATCCTTCACTATTGTATGACAGAGTTGAGAATTTTCTTTTATAACGTTAAAGCAAAGTGTTATAAATTTAAGTCTAGATTTCAAAGAAACCATGCTATATCAGATGAACTTCTAATCCATTGTCTACAGAATTTTTCACTGAGATCGTCATCATCTAGATCAGGATATCATCTTGTGTTGGGACTTTATTTTATAATAATTATTGCAATGACTGATTGATAAATAATTTTCATAAAATAGATTTTGGTAAAAATTTTTGAATGATGTTATATTAAAACTACTTAGATTTTATTGCTTTATAATTGAAAATTGTTTCAAATACAAAGTGGAAACCTTTATTATAAAATTAATATTAAGACAAATCAAAATTATTCTAACTTCTTGCTGAAATAAAACAACAATCAATTGTTGTTAGATCATAACATATTTTTTTGAGAGAAGTAGAACATTAAAGTGTATTTATTAACTTTAAAGTAAATCTTACATTGAGCACAAATTAATATCAACATAATTTACATAAATAAGAGAAGTTTACAGTGGTTTATATAATTATATATACATATACATATATATATATATGTCTTTAGATTAACTTAATCATAGTAGCTAAGTATATTGTTAAGATGAACTGTGGGTTGTGTGTGTTAAATTCAGGATATTGTGAAATTAGCATCCTTTTTTTCCCTCATTTTAATAATAGGTTCATTTTACTTATAAATTTTAAGAGTATTGTCTAATAATTAGGTTTTATTTGTTTTTTAGGACACAAGCATAAAAGAAAAATTTAAGAACACAAGTTGCTGCACCTGGATATTTCCTTGGTTCTTTATCTATTCTCTTTCCAGATTAATCATTTATTTATATAAAATATATCAAGATTGTTATGCAGTATCTACCTATTACAGAGGGGGTGACATTAATTATTGCATCATCTCAATTTTTTGTTTTCTGGTTCCAGCTTTTAGTTATGTAGTGTACTTAATCTTTGCTAATATAATCCAAGAAGAAAAGGTCAAAATAACAACTGCAATAACCAATATAATATATGGATTATTATTAATTCCTTGGCAAATTAAAAGGTATATTTAAAATTTTTGAAGTATATGAAAAATTTATTTTCATATTAATTTTATGTTAATGTTAAGTTATAAAATAAGTACAAGACTTCTATTTCTTTCATGGTACAAAATTAATCTAATTTAAACTATTTTAATTTGTTCACCTATTTTAAGGTGAAATAGTCAAACAACAAAAAAAAAAAAGTGCTTTGTTTTGTATGTGAATGTGACAGCAGAATCCACCGTAAGGGAACAGAAGTAAAATACTCTCCATCCAAGTTCAAAATCATTCTTTGTAAAAGACTGATTAATCCAAAGAAAGTTCTCTTGTTACTGCTCCAAATGAATTTATATTTTTATTGCTTTGCAAGACCCAAAGAAGTTTACTAAACTTCAAAATATCTCCAAGTTTTCAGAAGCCAAGTTGAAAGAAGTTACATATATAAAACTTGACATTGAAGAGCTATTAAAAGATTAGCAGTTTTAATATGCAAGGACAAAAGTTGAAAAACACAATTTTTAAGCCTTTTTATTCTATTTTCTTGAAAATAAAAAATATCCCAATTTCAAAAATATTATGGAAATATGCTTAAAAGCTTTAATTTATCTTGCATTCTGACTGCTCAAAGCTTTTTAAATTATTTTTTAAACTTGGTATTATGTGACAAAAAAGCTTTTTTGTCACATAATACCAAGAATACTGTGAAAGCTGAAGAAAATTCACTTTTTACTTTTTAGTGCATTTATGTGAATAAAAAAGCATTTGTCGAAAACTTTTTTATATTTTTTATTTTCTATTATTTAATATGCTCCACTATAGTAGTGAAGTGCTTATGTTAGGACTTTTGTGTGTCTGTCAGACATTGTGTTCCATTCAATACAATCATAACTCGTCAGAGACTGCATTTCTTAACTAAATACACTCAAACAAACCTTTACATATGCAGCCGTAATTTAATAGATAAATTCAAACGTTTTCGACCATATTCAATGGTCTTTATCAAGAAAAAACTGAAAAATCGAACTTCGAACCAAAAATTTGCGTTACGATACAGGCGTTATTTTTGAAACGATTTTAAAAAGATATTCTATCGTATAAGCGCCATCTCTACATATTGGCTATAATTACGGCTGCATATGTAAAGGTTTGTTTGAGTGTATTCAATACAATCATTACGCATGCGCAAAAGGGAACTGAACATTTTCGTTTATGGTCACTGTAAGCTATAGTAAAAACTACGCAGTTCCTCTGGAATCTATAAACCATATCCCTTACTATATATTCAGTGGAAAATTCTTCTGAACTACTACTTAATTCCAAGAATTTATAAAATTTATTTTAAACAAAATTAATATTTGATTCTCTTTTGTGGAGTGTGCTATCAGATTGTATATGTAACACTGAATAATTGAAATTTTTCTTGTTTTAGCATTTAATTGAGAAGTGGCTGAAAAATTGAGCTTCAAGATTTCATGTAGACAGTACAACTAAGAAAGGGCAAAGGGCTGCCAGAAGTATAGTGCCATCTGTTATCAGATTTTTATAAATTCCTAAAATTGTTTGTAAACTCTGCATACATATGTATTCCCAATGACAATTTTTTTAAAGTTTCAACTATATTGGAAATTGGGTGAAATTGAATTACTTTATCTAGACAGACAGAGTAAGTTAAAAAAAGCATATAAAAATTTATTTCTAGCATTCCCACTTAGAGACTTTCCTAATAACTCAGATGCAGTGAATGAGAATTGGAATGAAAGACTTCATCAAAATATAAACGAAATGGAGAAATATAGAATGAAGTTACCAGTAATACTGAAATGAGAGCTTTATGGCTGATCATTATTGATATATTGAAACAAATTAGAAAAAGAAATACGTAGTACGATCCAAAAGTTCGGGGACTTGGCATAAAATTCCTTACCCTAAAAAGTTTATATTGCCGATGCACAACCACCTTCAAACTAATTACCTTGGGCAAGGATACACTTTTTCCAGTGGTCGTATAACTTCTGGAAGCACTGCTGGAAGCCATTTTTTGAAACCTCCCATAAGGCCTCCTGCAATGCTGCTCTCACCTCATCTGATGACACAAAACAGTGTTAAATAAATAACACCACGTTTCATCATCTGTTATGATGTGGTTAAAAAATGATGGATTCTTATTGGCTTTGTCGATTAAATCATCCGATATTCTCATTCGTTCTTCCTTTTGTTCAGAAGTCAAAAGTCGAGGGACAATGTGCTGAGACACTCGGTGCATGTTAAGATCTTCCGTTAAAATATGCTGGCAACTAGTCTTTGATAAGTGAGTAGCCGCAGCGATTTTTTCAAGAGTTCGGTGACGATCTTTGCGAACACATTGACAGACTAACTCAACATTTTCCTCGTTCCGTGAAGTCGAAGGTTGGCCAGAGCGTTCATCGTCTGCGATGGGATTCTCGTCCCGTTTTAAAACGCCGATGCCATTCGTACAGCTTCGATTTTGCCACGATAGAATCACTGTACACCTTTCTTAACAATTTTAAAGTCTCCGTAGGTGTTTTACCTAAACGCTGACAAAATTTAATGTTGCAGCGCTGTTCTTAAAACTTCATTTTTATTACGTCGCAGAACAAAGGTAACTATCTCCGGAAGAAAACAGCAGCACTCGCGATTTAATTATGTGACATGGGCGAAATAAACCTGAACATGTAGGAGTGGTTTGATAGAATCCATTTCATACGCTGTAACTTCAAATACATGCTTTTGTTGTCATAGATTACTGCAGTCCCTGAACTTTTGGATCATACCACGTAATACACAAAAGGGTATTCATTTCTTTTTCTAATTTCAAAAGTGCTTTGAAAACCTACTATAAGACTAAGAAAATAGCGTTGAAAATACAAAATAACATTGACAAAGCTAACAGAACTTTCTTGAAATTTTGTTTTCTTAATTTTGAAAAGCACCTTGATACCTGAAAGTAAATATATTATAGCAGCGGTCCCCAACCTTTTTATCGCCGCGGACTGGTCAATGTTTGATAACTTTACCGCAGCCCACTGAGGGGGATGTTGATTGTTCATATTTTAGATTGATTTAATTTAATAATTTTAATTTAACTGTATTTAAATATGCCTTCAAAATAAAATACAGTTACACCAAAAAATGAATATAATGTGATTTAACATTTTAACTCACTAGAAAGCTAAATCAATGAGAACCCTGAGCTTGTTTCTTTGCAACGAGACAGTTCCATCTGGGGGTAATAGAAGACAATGACACTCGAAGTGTGTTTCTTATGTCCAGTTTATTCCGTTGTTCAGTCGTCTATTAAAAGTCACACAAACCCGAGACAAATACACCATAGTAAATAAAATGGAAATAATTTAATGTTCCTTGGGGCCGCCTGGTATCATTTGATTCCCGGGCCGCGGACTGGTACCGGTACCGGTCCACGGCCAGGGGGTTGGGGATCACTGTATTATAGTATAGTGAAATGAGATTTTTTATTTTCATTATCAGTTCATAAATCTGAACTCAGCTGGTAAAGAAAATCAAATATAAATATATAATGTATACTTTTAGTAAATGGATGAAGAGTGAGAGGGGGGGGAACTCTGAACTGATATATGTATAGATACTTCATTTATATATAATCAAAGTTTCTACATATTCATTGTAAATGATCAAGATAAACTGAACATTAATCTGAAATTAATTAATCTGTTAAAAAACTGATTAACAGTTGCTGACAGTTGAAAATGGGCATTTTCAACTGTCTACACCTGAAGATGGTCCATTAACTGGATCAAAAACATCAGCATTCTTTAAACTTCATCTGTTGGAGTGCATTGATTAATTCAGCTGAGTAACTACAGTGTATAGTTCATTTTTATTAAATCACATAATTTTAACAATAATGGCAGTAGTATTAATGAACTAATCAAAATTCTTGTATGGGATATTGGAGTGTTCTAACAAACCAGGGCTGTGGAGTCAGTAGACCAAGCCTCTGACTCTGCTCACAGAACTTCAGAAATTGGAGTTGGACTTTCTAATTCTAAATAATAATTTAAAATATATCTTGATTACATTAACTGACTGGGTACTTCATTACTACCAAGTGAGTCATCAAGCATTCTTATCTAAACTGAAAGTACTTACCACATTTACTCACATATAAGATGAGGTTTTTATTCATTTTTCATTGCTTCAAAATCTTAGGTTGTCCTATATGTGCAAGCAAAGGATTCTTTTGAATTTTTGCAATAATTTTTGTAAACTGTGTACAGGTAACCCTGTATAACACAGGAGTTACGTTCCAAAAAATTGCTGCATTATATGAAACAAAGAACTAGTGCGAAAAGGGGGGTTAGGTTCCAAAAATTAAAAAAACATGTTGTTAAATCCTTATTTAAATCGGATTTATTATTCATTTTTTTCATAGGTAAAATACTTATTTATTATTTAAGTAAATATTTTACCAGAGGATTATTCATCCTATATGATGATCTCAGCGTGAGCACCATCAACTGGTAACAGTTTGTAGGTGTGTTTGTTAATAGTGGTCACTCTGCAACGGGAATGCGCTGCTGTTTGTAGGCATTTAGGAATGATGGTGAAAGAAAAATGGTGGCACCCACACTATCGATAGTATCATGCGGAGGAAGCTATAATTCTAAAATGAGCTTTTAGAGGCAAAAGAAGGATCCCAATTGTAAAATTTAACCATTAAATGGATTATTTGTTGAAAGAGCATTCAAAGTAGGCCACGAAAACAATTAGAATGTTCATGCAGAGGTATAAAAGAACGCACCCTTTATTACATTTTATGCTGTACAAGGGTTTTACCCAATTCCCAAACCATGTTAGAGTGAACCCGTGTTATATGGGGGATGTTCCCAATTCTTGAACCTTGTTAGAGGTTAGAGTGAATCCGTGCTATAGAAGTGCCGTGTTATACGGGGGTTACCTGTATTTGCATTTTTTACCAGATGCTCATCCTCTGGTGTTTAAAAACATAAGTATTTATCTGGGTCATTTGAATTGTTCTTTTTATTGTTGAGAGCAGAGCCGTAACTAGCCATTCCTGTGCCCTGTGCAATAATTTGCATTTAGGCCCCTTAATTTATTTGGTTTTGGGAAAATATTAAAAATCTATTGTAATGTATTTGTTTTATTAAGATTTATTTTAATTGAATTTTTCTGGCTTTAATTTCAGCAAATTCATTAACTACACCATCGTAATTAATATTTTTAACGATATTGTATTCTATTGAAATAATAGAAATATTGGATAATCGTTCATGTTCGATAGTTGATCTTAAATAATTTTTTATTAAGTTTAACTTGCTAAAACTTCTCTCGCACGAAGCAATAGAAACGGGAAGAGTTAGAAATATTCGAAGAGAAACATTAATATTTGGGTAAGACTCAATTAAACCAAAATCATGAAGAGCCTGTAGAATATTAAGTGCAGATACAGTTTCTATATTTTGTATAAGAGTCGTTACTTCAAAATTAAAACTTTCAATTTCACTTGTGAATTTGTACTTTTTTAAATCTTTGCTATACTGTATTTAATAGCGAGATCTGCAACCGAATTTTTTAAATGAACAAACTCATGCATTGTAAAGACCAGCCACAGCGAAAGCAAAAATCGTCACAGATACTTTTCATTTTTTCATAACGCCAATCTATTTGACACAATAGAGTGTCAAAAACACTGTAAATTTGTATTTTAAATAATTTTTCAGGTGTCAAGTTACTTCCTTCATCTGGTGTTTTATCTATTTCCATTATCTTAATTCTTTTTTTTTTCGTTTATTAAGAAATCTCTTTTCTATACATTTTGGTTTGTTTTAAGAATATGATCAATAATAGCATCTGTTTATATTCTTGGCCATAAAGCTATATCATTTATTACTTCCATGTATCTCTATATATCGAAGCTTTTTTTTTTTTTTTTGACTATTTCTATCTACTGCGTTTTCGCAATCCCTTTTTTCAGTAGCATTTTAAAGACTGCGGGAGTTCCTTCGGGGCCCTATGCGCCAGCATAGTTCGCTTACCGATTAATCCGCCGTTCAGGTATACACCACATATGCGTACCACTATAAAGAAAAAATAGATGTCAGAATTTCTGCACGCCTTTTACAACCTCGAGACTAAGATTTTATTCAGGAGTTACCGTTTTCAATTTAGTAATTTTAAAAAATCCTCGGGTAGATTTATTTTTGTTACAAAATGTTACCTTTACAGATTTCTAGCTCTGCACACTGTAGAAAAATCTAGAAATGACAGAAAGCTCTATAAAGTACAGAAAAATCTGTAAATTTGAAAACTATAAACATCAATTTAAATTTCTCAAAAAATAAATTAAAAAATATCAAAAATCGCTACTTTTGGCTGATTTGTCTGAGGTCTCCGCTACTTCACTACGTCCCTCTAAAAGTCGCCACAGTTGGGAACACTGGTGAGCAGACATCTAGGGTCTAAGTATGGCAAAATGTAATCGCCAAACCGCGCTGTAGAAAGGAGGAAAAATTTAAAATTTAAAAATATAATTTATTGTGAACAGCAGTTTGGGCCCCCCTTCCAAATGGGCCCTGTGCGGGTGCACCTGTTGCACCTGCCTAGTTACGGCTCTGGTTGAGAGTAAAGTTGAATAGTAATAGGAAAAACAAAGCTTTTGAATTGAATTCCAAATTGTAATTCCAAAATCACACGGAGCTCGATATAAGTTTTAATCCATTCCCATGAAAACAGATGACTATTTGGAAATCAGAATTCAGAGAAACTCATAAGTGCAATCAATGGAGAGTGGATTCAACTGTTAAGAATTGGCAAAAAAAGGTTCCCAATTGTCCAACTTTACATGAACAAATCATGTTGATTTTATAAGGTTTTACCTTAAAGTTTAAAATGCCATTAATTTTTGCAGGACAATATGTGCATTTGATGATATTTTATTTGCAATTAAACAAAATAAAATTAGAATTGTATTAATAAATCTAATTTTCTTTATTTTGATCTTTAAAGTCACACCTCGTCCTATATGCGAGATCATCTTATATTTGAGTAAATACGGTATCTTTTTTCATAGTTTTTTCTCATCATCACCATATCTTTATCTTCAATCATACATTGATACACAAATTGTTTTCCATCTGTAGTCACAGATGGAAAACAATTATAGTAAAGCACTTTGCTACACTCATAGATGGAAAAACTCAGATTAAAATGTGATTCAAAAACACCCAATTTAAGCCAAGTCTTAGACATTTTGTATGGGTCTTTTGACAATAAAAATTTAGAATTAATTAACTCAATGTATTTGAATATAAATTTCTGAAAAAAAAATTAACTGTAATTACTAATATGTAAAGAAAGACCACGAAGAAGGGAAATCATCATAAAATAAGATCTTGCATTACAGGCAGCTTCTATAATGCAAGATGGGAGGTTAATGCTGCTATTAGCTTAATATAAAGTATATAATAAAAAGAAAATAGAAGTCAGGATCTGTCCATTGTTACTGGTTGAGTTGCATCAGTGTCAGAAGCAAATTCATTATAGATGAGTCAGTTTTCACAGCTCTGCTAACAACAACAGTGAATTATTATTATTGAAATTTGCAACTGCAACAACAAATGCTAATGTTAATTATTGCATTTTACTTATGCATTTAGTTTTATTTATATTATTGTTACATTGAATGAAGATCAAAATATACAAATAATTTACATTTACAGCATTCTTGAAGTTTTGGGATTTTCAACTCAAAGAATATGTCAAAGAAAAGGTCTGTCTGAAGATGAAAAAAAAGAATATAATCTTATAGAACATCAAGCCATGGTTCTTGAATTTTTTGAAGACTTCTTTGCTGGGTTTATTCAACTTGCTTTACAGTTATATATAATAATAATGAGTCTAGATGATCCTTCATTTAATTCAAAAATATGTAAGTGTCTTAATTGTTAATTTGATATCAAAAGTTTTAATAAGAACAAATAATATAAGATAGTATCAAACACTATCTAGCAGGAAGAATATCATGGCTTGAGTTTACTTAATAGTTAAATGAGTATTGTATTTAACATCACATAATATGATAAAAAAAAATGTTTATAAAGTTTAAAAATAAGATAATTTTAAAGCTATCCTCTAATACCAAATATTAATTCCTCTAATAAAAATCAAATACTTTATTCAAAACTTTGTATCCAAAGCAAATTTTATTATTAAGTTGTAATTTTTCTGATTACTATACAGAAGTTTTTGAATTGTGATAAAACTGGGATAATATTTATTTTAGAAATTCTAACCTTGATTAGCTGTAGCTTTTGCAAAAAATTAACAAACATCAATTATTAACTGGTAAATGTCAGCAAACTAATTATAAACTGGCAAGTTTTATTTAATCTTTGTTAATTAGTTAATATTTAAGTTAATTTGTTCTGTTTCTATTTATATCATATTCTTCTGATGTCAGAGTTTTGTTTATTTGATAGTTAAGAATGATTTATTCCAATTTTTAAATCTAGAGAGACATATTTAATTAATGAAATATTCCAAAATTAAGATTAAACTTAATTAAAAATTGTTTTCTTTTGAATTTATACTTTATCTCTGTAATAATACTGAAATATAATATGATTGCATTGGATTAATCATTATAATATTTTCAGTGAAAGAAGAAATAATTTCATCAAGTTTAATAATTATTTCCATGATAACAGCTGTTAGAAGAAAGGACGATGGTTGGTTAACAACATTCTTTTCGTTTATTGGTTGGACATTAATTGCAACATCTAGAACACTGATCATTGCATTAACTGCAACAATAATCCATGGAGGAATTGTTGGCCTTTGCCTTTTTCATGCATTAATTATTACTATTTGGTTAGTTCCAATTTGTTGGAGAAGTTATACAGAAACTGAATTATCCAATAAAAAAAAATTATCTATTATTTTTATAATATATGTTATATTTGGACTACCTTCTTTAATATTCTGGCCTATCCTGTTTCAACTAAAGGAAAATAAACGTCCTTTCATTTTTATGGTAATTATAGGTTTGGAAAACATTGCATTATTTTGTATTTGGTATTTCTTAAGAGAAAATAAACAATGGACTATAAACAATACTTACTTTACTGCTGTTATTGGTGGAGGATCAGTTATCGGATTTATCTTCATTATGCTTTATATATTTATAAAACCAAAATATACAGATCAAATTGTTTTGCATGACATGAAAGTAGAGAATGCCAGTTCATTTGGAATGTATTTTGAATTTTGTGATGCAGCATTTAATCTTCCAGTTTCTCAATGGATAAATTTAAATCTTCAACAAATAAGACAATCATAGTTAAAGTTTTAAATTAATATTTTTATATGATCTCTCTTAAAAATAATAATTTTTGTAATCTGGTCATAAGCTTAATATTATAATAATACCATGACCAAAATATATTTTTAATACTGTGTAAATATATTGATGATATATTATAAATATTGTGTCTCATGAATCTCATTTTGTATAAATTATAAATTTTTACCATATTTTTAGAATTTTTTTCAATTCCATAAAAAGCAAAAAGCACAGATTAAAAAAATCAATGCCTTTTTAAATAAATTTTATCTTATATTTTTTATACATACTTTTTTCTTCTTTTAATTCTTGACTCTTTCTGTCCTATGGGCATAAGAGGACCTTTTAATCATATCCATCATGAGTTTGTCCAAGCCCAAAATATGGTGGCTGGGTGTTGAGAGATGGAGCCAACATAACCAAAATAGACCATCCAAAACTTTCTGGAATTTTTCAACTATCCAGATTCACTTCTGGATCTTCCAGAATGGTGACACATTAACCACCTCAGCCATCCAGCTATCATATACATAGACTTATAACATACATTTATATTTTTTTCAATTGATACTTTTTGGGAATAATTATGAATATGTTAATGATACCTTTAATTCATAATCAAAATTCTTGAAAATATAAAACATGTATATTTTTAGTAGTATTTGTTTCTCTTACAACTGTTTGTTTTTAGCTTCTAGAGATATTCATTTCCAAATAAAAATGGAAATACGTGCAATATATAATTGCAATACTTTCCATTATAACTCAATATTTTTTATATTTAATATTCATTACTTAGATTATTATTATAATTAATATTATTATTATTATTATTATTATTATTATTTTATATATTATTATTTATATTTTATATTATAAACTTTTTTCATTTCCTTTGCTAACTCCTTAAAAAGATGTACAGTATATACATAAAATATATATACAGTAAATGCATAATGTATTTGTGTGTTCAGAGATTTATGTACTGAAGTATAAGTAAAAAATAGTTTTAATTAAAGATAAATTAAAATATCAGTAAAACTAATATAATGCATTCAAAGCATTTTTATCCAAGCATTTTTCTAAAAATTTATTTTACTGATATTTTTATATAATTGAAAAAATTTGAAGTCTTAAGAAGTTCATATTTTAAAAGCATTTTCAATTCAAGTAACTATAAGATGCCTTCCATATTTTTATAAATGCAATTGAACATGAAAATGCTCTCAAGAGATTTAAAAGTTGTTTTGATATGTTTATCAATCAAGCTTATAAATTTTAAATTAAATATAAGTGGTATTTAAAGCAATTAAATAAGAAAAATTGTGTCTCTCATGAACTAATACTATTATATAATACACTACACTAAACCTATTTGTTTATTAGTTCAAATGATGACCATCATTTTTGGCCATCTGATTTTCTGAAGATGGCCATGGACAATGGCCAAAAATGTTTGAACTAATAAAAACAGTATGCTGGTTAGGATTCAATACAGTGTAAAAATTGTATTGCTAAGTTATATTAAATAATGTATTTTCTCAATATTAAAATTAAAGAAACATATAATTTATAAAACTGATTTTGTTGTTTAATGCATATTGTATGAAAATTTAAACAAGTTTTATGTTGTTTCTCTTTTTATATAAAACTATAAAAAAGAATAGAAGACCTATAATAAGATCTAGTTCTAAGTATGTAAATCTATAATTATTCAAATTTACGAAAATGAAAATAAATGAAATTTTCATGTTTTTAAGGCTATTACTGTATTTCCAAAATATTTCAGCAAACAATAAATGTTATCAAGTATTAAATTTAACTGTAATTATTACTTAAAAATTTAAAAACAATTATAAATAATAATAACATTTAGTATATGCATGTAAATAGATAACAGTGAGACAGAAAAACATATTTTCCATTATATTTTTGATTTAAAAAATTAAGCACAAAACTAATGTATGTTATACTATAAAAGATTCAATAGAAACGTTTAATATTTTTAAGGTGATAAGGAGAGAAATAATAATAAATTGTTCATTTAAATCCAATGATATAATCTAAGATTGTTTGTTTGAAAAATATATCTTTAGGAATTAATTTTTTATTTAGTAACAGCAAACTAAATTTATTAAAAATTAAAAATTTTATTTTATTCGGACAATTTTAATGTAAGAAAAAAATATTTATGAAGTGTATATGTTTAAAACAACAAATGAAGCACACAATGCCATAATGTTGTAAATGCCAAAAAACAAACTTTTCAGAAGTAAAAAACACCTTCTAGTAAATGAATTCATTTCAAATTTACAATAAAATAGTAAAAAACTCATTATATTACAAATTCTCTGGAATATCAACATAATGTAAATATAAGCAGTCATATGACTTACATGTTAGCACTTTAAATATTATAGTTTCACATAAATTCAACTTCAAAGTACAGCCTCTTACAGTGCTTTTTTTTGGGCAGCAGAAAATGTTGCATTTAGAATTCAATTCTTCAATAAAATGTATTTAGAGAAAAATGGCATTTACATTATGGCATTGCATGCTTCAAATATATTTTTGTACAACTTACAATTTTAGCTACCTCAAAAAATTTCAATATTAATATTTTTGCTTATCTGATGCTATCAATTAAAATACATTTTTTTACACTTCATATAAAGTATATATTTTTAACAAAATATAACAAAAATAACAAAATATTTTTAACATTATATAAATTTTATATTTTTAACAAAAATGATAGTCATTTTTGTTAAAAATATTATAATGATTGATATACTAGATTAAAAATCAATAAATTTCCATATGTAATTAAAAAAAAGCAAGTAGATTATTATTTTATGCTATAATTTGAAATAAAACTAGCTTTTATATCATTTATTTGACTTAATAAATAAGTATTAATTATTATTTAAATAATTAAATTTATTGTATAAATGACAGTACAAAATATAATAATTCTTAATTAATTCATTTTGTACTTTCTTATTTATGTAAATATTTAATAAAATTATATTTATTTTCAATTCTTGTATTGTATACTTTTATTTGCATTTAGAATGGATTATTTATTGAAAATAAATATTGTGCAATATTTTTAAAAATAATTTTTATTCACTAAACAAGAATATATTAAATCTTGAACAAATATTCTAGATCTTAAATTTTTAAACTTAGTAATAAATTATACATCCCATTTAACTTATAATTCTCAAACAGTTATTCTTATTACTGGATTAAAAATTTAAATAAGAAAATGTTATTTATACCACAAAATGTCATTATTTTATAATAGTAATAGATCTTCAGAATACAATACAAATATTGTTGCACATTTATAATTGAACAAAATATTTTTTTAATAATATAACAAGAAATAGATCATAACACCAGATTAATATATATAATGTATAGAGAGTAAGGCACTTTTAGTTATTTTGATTTTCCTGTTTAACAATACAAAAAACAATAAATATTGCTAACTTTTTCTAAAGTACTTTTGGATTAGAAATTAATATAATTTGACTTGTAAAATGGCAAGTCTGACTATCTGTAAGTTAATAAATAAAATTTTTACTTATAAATTCCTTCTATTTTAAAGACAGTTTAAGTAACAAAACACATTTCAACATGCAACTGAGGTTGTCAAATTTGAACAGATGTGTATCTATGATCAAATATTTAGATTCATGTAATTATCAATTTCTTATTGATGAGTAAAACTACTATATCTTATTAATGATAAAAATTTTAAATGCTAAAATAAATATCAGTAATTTTATCATTCATTAAGTGATATATATATATATTCAGATCTGATGCTGCGTGAAACTTCACCACCTTTATTCTCCATTAGTTTTTGGAGACATGATATTAAATGACTGAATTTATTAAAGTTGTAAGAATCAATGATATTCAATACCACTGTAACTGTCCTGTACATTGCAAACTAACCTTTAAACCTAGTACCATAAAAACAAATAAAGCATGTAATTTTGAGATGGCTGACTATGAACCAACTGATATGGTTTATGTTTAGACAATACCTACTTTCATCATCAAAATATTTGAAGGATTTTGCAACTTACAATCAAATTAACTAAAAGTATTTTTTACAGAAAGTTTTGCATGATTACATTTTCATTTCAAAGGATCACATATGGTCTACATTTCAAATTTGTCTTCTGCCCAAAACACTCCTACCAGTATAATTTGATGTCAACTTTATTCATATAGCATAAAATTAGTTTCAATAAGTAAATATCACTATTCTAAGATTCTAACTCCAATCATTCAAGGATTAGTTTTCCCTTAGCATACCCTTGAGTATGTTAAGTATGTTATGCAATGTATGCCAGACCTGGTATGTGTATATATATATATATACACACACACACACACACAAACCCAAATTTTTTATATCAACATCATCTCTAAATTTGGCACTTCATTTGGTTTTACCCAATTTTTTTATTATAAATGAACAGAAATCAGTGAGATTTTCAGGAAGTGTACCTCCACTTATATTAAAGACAGTGCTGAAACTGGCTGATAGATGGCAGGAAAGACAGGGCGTGGTCTCTCTAAAGAAACACTCAACACCACTGCATATATGTGGATTTTCACAGAATTTGTTGAACAACTTGATGTGGAACTGGCACAGGGTTTCTTTCAGCAAGATTGAGTGGCTTGCCCCACATCATTGGTGTCAATAGCAACAATTCAAGAATCTGTAGTTGCCATGATTGCCCGATCTCATCAGCCCATAATTCTTTTTGTGGAGCTATTTAAGGAAAGAGTGTACTATAAACCCTGCACAACTGATATCTTAGTGGATAACATTAGGAATGAGATTCAAAATACTGATGCAATAGTGAGGCACATTATCAACAACATGCAGCAAAGCATTGACATATGCATGACAGAGGTGATGGCCACTTCCAATACCTGCAGTAATGTGATGTGTTCAACATAAGTGAAAGTACACTTCCTGAAAATAACATTGATTTCCATTCATTCATTTAAGATTTATAATAGAAAATTTGGATTTACATCTGTATGAATTACCCTGTATATATTTATGAGTACAAGTTTATATTATGTTATCTGAAAGAAAATTACAAATATATTGTTTTCCTTTTATAGTTTGTTTGAATTTATGAATTACAGATTAAAAGTTTATCAATGCTTTAGATTTAAGTATACAGTATTTCAAATATATTCATTTTATATTTAGGAAATTTAAAAATTTATGTAAATTTTAAATCTAAAAAGATATGAAATAATTAAATATTTTAACTTATACNTTCTGGCTAGTGCGCTTTACAATTCTTCTGGGTGGACACCCTTGAGGTATACTACGAACCTGCCAAGTCTCATCCCGAACTGAATTTCCGAGACCGTAAGGTCCCCTTGTAAGACTATCATAATTTTCTTATAAAAAATTGTGTATTTAAATCTAACTTTTAAAAATATTATGTATTTTATTTAAATTTATTTCTAAAATTGTTGCTACAACAACAAAAATATATTTATTTGAAATGATTTATTCAGTTTTATTGCAGGTAGATGTTATTTTTCTAGGTTTTTCCTGTCTGAAGATGGATAACTAAGACAAAAACATATATGATGATTATATCATATAAGAATTCTATTAAAGCATTTATGACAATCTATGAATTTTCACATAGTTTACCACAAATGTTTTAATAGAGTTCAAGTAGAAAACAATTATTGCAAAAATTATTATAACTTTTTACATTAATAGAATATATATCATTGAATAAATTTATAAATTAATTGTATTTAGTAATAAAAAACTTCAGTATTGCATAGAGTTAATTTTAGCTTAAAGCTACCAATCTATTATTATAATAGAATCATTAATATAAAAGAATACCCATTCCTAAAAGAGTATATATAAAATGCAAAATGATTTCCTTTTTGAATTATCTCTATAAACATATAAATTATATAGTAAGTAATTTTCAAAGTATAGTAATATATCTACTTTAAATATTTATTTTACAACTACTAAGTTATCAATTAAGATAGCAATTTTATTATTATTTTTCAATTAATGTTACTAAAATAAAATAAAAACCTTTCCATTATTTACTTTAAAAATTACAATGTTTCTTCACTTCTAAGATGCAGCATGATTTTGAAACTGAATATTAAAGCTGTTTTTATGGTGGGAAAAATTTTAAAAGAATCAATCTTACAGTAGTTTTAAGTAATAGGTTAGAAAAACAATACAAATTCCATAAACTAGATAATGTTTGGAAGCTCTATTTTCATGTTATTCCGCATATACAATTACTTTTGTTTTAATGGTGACTCATATTATTTTGAAGACATTTTAAACATTAAAAAGGAGTTTAAATTAAATTCTGAATACTAGCAAAGCTCATTGAGCAGTAAAGCCAAAAATGTTTGTTATTGGTGCATAGTGCACCATGCATATACTCATTACAATTGTTGATTGGTACTTTTCTACTTTTCACTGCAAATATAAGAAACATATCTATTTCACACAAGTAAAATCAAGTAAAAATGTACATCATAGAATTGAATAAATATGGTAATATGTTTAGTTATAATACATATTAATAAATTTATTCTGAAAAATTAATTTTTATTGTCCAATTAAGAATTGGTTGACTAGAATAATTAACATTAGTAATTTCTTGTAAGATAATATTCAATGTTAATGAGTAATTCTTTTATTGTGACATTGTCACAATGCCGGGCTGCAATTTTTAATCATATTTTAAATTCATTTAATTTAAAATATATGTTCTGTACATCATATTAGTAGTATCTTCCCACTGTACATCATACTTTTTTTATTAACAATAGAGTCAATCATCTGTCTAACTCCCTTCAGAGGAAAATTTTTGAATTGAAATAATGTGACTTCCAATGCAAACAGGAAGTTCATATATAGTTAATTGGAGCCTCCTGACCCCAAGCTTTATCTAATCTCAATTTTCATCTATCTAACTCTGTTCTTAAGATTAAGGAAGGACAGACAACGGACAACAGTAGGAAATTTATAGGTCTACAATTTTTTTAAAATGCAGCCCAATTAGTAAAATCTAATTTAATGTTATTCATTCATTTTCTTTTCATTTCTTGCCATAATCTAAATATTTAAAATTACTTGTCCTGACTGACTGATTGATTCATCATCACCCAGAGCAAACTGCTGAATCTAGAGGTGAAATTTTGTACACAGTTAGGGTGCATTATGAAAACACACACTAAGAAGGGATTTTTCGAAATTCGCCTCACAGGGGGAGAGGGAGAGGATTAGGGCTTAACCTGAAGAAAGGCTTCAACTGTACTATTTTAGATGCAATTTTTTGTTTTTAACTATGTTTAGTTTTCATTGAGTACTTAGGTGTATTAAATTGATAACATTTCAGACATTGTTATAAATATTTTTATATATTTCAATTTTTTAACCAAATGTTCGAACTGTTTTAAATTTGAATTTGTCATTGCATATTGGTTCGATTATAGAAAAATCGTAAATGTTCCAGAAAATTGATTGAATTGAAAACAGTTCATTTGATTCTCAGCAATTCTCATCATTTTCAGCAGTAGGTGTTATATAACGATTACTATGATTGTTGAAATACCAAGTATAAATGGGGTTTGCTTGCAAAATCTGCGCAGGTGAAGTTGCGGGTAACAGCTAGTGTTTTAATAAAGTTTCTCAGAACTTACCTGCCCTTCTCATACATGTAAAAACTTCTAAAACCATATCTTTCAATGAAAATGCTCCAGATGCAGCTCCATAATGTAACATGGCATATTCACCAGATACTTGGTAAACAAATAATGGATGGTTTGGAAACTAAAATATTCAATAAAATAATTAAGCACATTGGAAAAGTTTTAAATTGGTTTTCTGCTATTGAATTAATATTTTTAAAATTATTTAAGAAAAACAGTTAACCAAAATTAATTTCAACTGAAATTAAAAATTATGTTATATACATTAATTCATTCCAAGACCTCAGTAAAATAATCATTAGATCCAAAAAGTATACTTTATAATAATAAGCACTGAATTCATAATGTAAATCTTACAGGAGTGCATTAAAAATTTAAAATTAAAGATATATAATTACAGAAGAAATATATACATATAGAGCACACTAATTTGATCATCAATAGAGAAACTAAGGTAGAATGAGCAATTATTTATTGTAAATAATTGCTCATTCTACCTTAGTTTCTCTATTGATGATCAAATTATTTTATCGAAAAATTGCAGCCTGACATTGTCACAATGCTGGGCTGCAATTTTTAATCATATTTTTAATTTATTTAATTTAAAATATATGCTCTCCATCTCAAATTAGTAGTGTCTTGCCCCTGTACATCATACTTTCCTGCTAGCAGTAGAGTTGTGCTGGTCATCTATCTAACTTCTGTCAGGGGAGAGGGTCCTGATTAATTATATACAAACTTCTGGTTTGCACCCGAAGTTCATATATAGTTAGTCGGGCCTCCTGCCCAAGCTTTCCATATCTGATCTCAACTTTCATTCTCAATATTAAGGAAAGACAGACAGACAGACGAATTTAAAGACTACAGTTTTTTAAAATTTAAACTCAACAAACAATTACTTCTTGTGACACTATCACTGTAGAGCATGGATGGCCAACCTGTGGCACACATACCACAGTGTGGCATGGCAGAGTTTAAACAATGGTACACGAAGACTTATTGAAAAACTAAAAAATTTGAAAAAATAATAATGTCATCTTCAGAAACTTTGTCAAAATCCGTAAAAACTCTACTCATATGCTACTGAATACAACAGCGCCAGAAAATGACACTGCTTGACACCAGTACAACGATGCGGTAAGACAGCGTGATCATGGGACGAGCCCAATGGTTTGAGTTGCCTTGCTTTGGCGCCATTGTGTCTTGCTAGGGCTGTCCGTTCCAGCATTGCCAGATTTGGCTACTTTGCACCAAATTTGGCTACCCTTTTTTTTAGTTTGGCATAAAAAATATCATTTGGTGCATTGGCTACTTTTTATAAAATTTTTGGCTACAAACACTAAAAACATCTGGCATTGCTGGTCCTTTCTCAAACAAGAGTGAGTGCAACACTGTCTGTCTGGCTCAGTTGATTTTAAACTGCTGAGCAAGATGTTAAGCTTTCTTTAAACTGCTTTTATATTTTGGCGTTGAGCGTCATTGTTTTAAAAATTTTATTTTCACTGACCATGAGTAAACCTTCGACATTGAAAAGAAAATATAAAGAGGAGGATATTACAATTCATGATTTTAAAACTGTCTGGAAAGAATAATTTTTGTTTACGCATCAAAATGCTTCCAAGCCTGTTTGTTTGATATGTGGAATTTGTGTAGCAGTGCCGGAAAAATTTAACCTGGACTGACATTTCAAACAACTGCATATGATTTCAACAGCAAATATCCTGTTGGATCCTTTTTCAATTTCTCTGCAAGAAGTTAATTGTTACCCACCTGAAATCCAAATTGAAATTATTGACCTACAGCAAATATAAGGAACTTATTTCAACTGCAAGTGATCCAAATTAGATTGAGTTTTGGAAATTTGTACCAACAAGCATTTTCCAAATTTACACAATTTGCTGTCAGATATTGTTGTAGGTTTGGATCAACATATGTTTGTGAACAAATGTTTTCTATTATTAACATAATAAAATCAAAATAGCATTCAAGACTAACTGATATGCACCTAAAACACTTAATTTTGTTAGCATCTTCAAGAACTAATCCTAATATAGATGACTTGATAAAAAAAAACTACAAATTCAAAAGCCACATTAATTAAGTACTGACTGTTTAATAATTATTTAGAATTAAATGTTTCAAGTTATTCATTTTATACATAACCTAACTGAATAAACCTTTAAAAATGTTTATTAACCATTTGCACTTTTTATCTATTAAATAACACATTAACACTTTCACTCTTTCAACCCAACCTTCTTCTTTGGAACTTGGGTTTTCTTTTTCATTACATTTCATTTTTAACAGTTACTTTTATTTGACTCAATGCACAAAACTCATTAAATTCATACTAACCCTTCACTCTCTATTCTAAATTAAAAAACACACTAACACTCCATTCTTCCAGCCCAAATCTCTCCTTTGGGTTTGGGCTTTTATAAATAATTTTCACTCTTTAAATTCTCACTTTAATTAATAAAACATTACTTCATCTCACTATACTCGTCTTACTTTTCTCTTGCAGTGTAAATACTCATTATGTCTTCTTTTCCTTTATTATTTTGTAATGTTCTGTGTGTATGTCTGTATTTTGTATCTTGTATTTCTGTATATATTGTATTTAGTATTTTGTAATTATAGAAATAGAGGAAAAAAATAAATAAATAGAAAATATAAATAAATAAATAAATAAAATAAATAATAATAAAAAAAAGAAACAGAAAAAAAAAATTGTAAATATTATATTGTATCTACATGTAAATCATAATGTACATACTTTCATCCCAATACTACTGTTCTAACTCTAACACTAATTCTAACCCTATTTCTTTCCTTCTCCACCATGAGGATCTTTATAAGTACAATACAAAACCTTATTCCTTCCTCCTTAAATTAAACATCTTTCGCCTCCTAAATTTTAAGCTTACTTTCTTCATACTTCTTTCCAGCACAGCTCGCGCTGCTTAGTAAGTATTAGCTATAAGTTTAACAATATTAAAGAAATAAGCAGGAAGAAGAGAAGCATCAACAAAAGAAGAATCCACTACCACCAAACCTCACTGTGAAGAAGTGTCATCTGCCTTTTCCACCACACAGGACTACACGCCTGTTGAAGACTGTGTGGTGGATCTTCTCTTCTGTTCCTCTTGCAAAAACTCTCTCTCCCACACGCGGTAAAGTTTTCCAGCATTCCCCTGTTCGTTTTATCCCCAGGCATTTAATAAATTTCTCTTTTGATGTCTCCCTGGCTGACCAGGTGACATTTTTCTGGGTTTCCTCCGCCTTCTTTCTCCCCAAATGGGGGTCAGCTCCCCTATTATTTTACAGACCTCCCGGAAGATGTAGCCAACACCAGCAGTAATATGGCACTCTCTCAAAAATAACTAATCCAAATTCGCTGGAAGACTTTATTGCTGAATTACTCACTGTGGTTTCACTTCTTCACTCACTCTGATAAATTCAAAAACTGGTTAGGTCAGATTGGCTAGGGATGCATACTGCAACTATTCTATCTACCTTTCCTTACTCTTAAAAAATTAAAAAATAATTTTTGGTAAGTTAAAAGCATTACATCAAATATAACATACATAATAAAAACTAAAACATAACATATAAAACGTAATATTATGAGCCCTCACAAGGGACTAATAATTATGAGCCCTACTTGGGATGTCTATGAGCCCATTTAGGGACACTAACCAATACAGTACACTCTTGAATAAACAACATTCTTGGCCTCTTTGTGCTCTCTGAGCGGTAAGGGGCCTAAAACCACAAATAAAAAAAAATGTTTATTAACAATAAAACCTAAGTTTGTACTTTTGTTTTATTTATTATATTATTTTTTAAATCTCCACTACTCAAACTTACATGTGCTATTTGTGTAAAAATCCCATAATCAGCCTATAAATAACATTTTTTCACTTTTTTATATATTTTAGTATGTTGGAAAAGTTGGAAGTGACACGCATAAATTTTTTTTCCAGATAGTGGCACTCTTCCCAAAAAGGTTGGCCACCCCTGTTGTAGAGAATCCAATCTGAATTAACAGATTCTGTCACACTGAACTGGAACCACCAAATATCTTAACTCAAAAAACTTTAATCCCACTTTCGAACTCCACCACTTCACCTTTCTTCACTCCCTCCTCTGCTGTCCTCTCAACCTACTCTGACTCTTTCCTTTTACTCCTCCCCCTCTCTCACCTTTTTTCCCTTTTCCCCTTTTTTTTATGGCTCTTTGTCTATTCTTGTTTAACTACCCTCTCTCTTTACAACCCTTTGTCTACATTTGCTTATTACCTTTACAACTGCTTGTAAAAGCATTGGACATGGACCGACAAGATCGCAGTTGGGGGAGGAAGAATAAGTCCGATATCACTATAATCACAATGCTTGGCTGCAATTTTTAATTATGCTTTAATTAAAAAAAAACATAAACAAACTTCTGAGGAAGTTGCATCCGGTCTAGATTTTCATCTTATCTAACTCTATTCTCAAGATTAAGGAAAAACAATTTGAAAATTGCAGCCCAAAAAATTTTCATTAAGAAATTAACTTCCATTACAATCTCTGGAGATTTAGGAATTATAAACAAACTGACAAAAAAAATTCTTTATAGTATTGATATTAATATTTTGAAAAAACTGTCAAAAATTGTCATTATGCATGCAACACAGAGTTGCCTTTTTATTGTTTTCTTTTCATAATTGTAGTCTTTTTGAGGAAATTAACTTATGTCTCAATCATAGAACTTTGCTTGCTTTATGGATTGGTATACATTGATCATTAAATCTTCATTATCTTTCAATTTGTGAAGAATTGAACTCTGTTTTCATTATTCTCATTATTTTGTTATCATGCTTAGTATAGAAGTTTGTTTAGTTGTGGGTTATAGTTTACACTTCCAACTCAAAATTCTTACCTCATCAGCTGTCTTCTAGAAAAAACATTATCACTCTTGTAACTACAACAGCCCTGATTAAGACAATTTTGAATTGAGTTAAAAAATCTTATTAATCAAACTATTAAGTATTAAAAATGCTAAAGACAATGATGGTAATGCTTTCAATTATTTACTATTAGTGAATAGTCAATTTTTTTGTAATAATTGTTCAATGCTAGAATTTATAAAATAAGATAGATGCACCAAAACATATAATGAGAATAAAATAAAAAAACAAAGATAGATTTTTACATAATAAGTAATGAGCAAAGTTATAACCAAACAAAGATTATATCTAACTTTTCCAATATCAGTTTGGAAAATTAGTTTAAGATTTAGAATTTAAGTTGTTGATTTTTCTTATTACTATTGTTATTTTGAAATGGATTGTTCTTTTACTAATAAAAGTTAAAATTTTTGGCTTTAGTTATTTGATATCATTAGATTATTATAAATTAGTTTTTGTAAGATTAAATGTTTTTAAAAATTTAAATTTTTTAATAACAATTATTAAATATGTATATAAAAGACAAATTAATGTAAATGTTTTTTAAATTGATAATGTAAGCAATCTAACTGTACTTGCATTTTTTTTTACTTGTAAGGAGTTGAGTCGACCATTATCTTTTATTTTCGGGGTTTTTATTTAATTATTGTTATAATTTATTTTGAGGATATTTTATTTTATTTAAAGGAGAAAAATCCACAACTTTCCAGCCGTAAATTCTAAAGTAATAATAAAACACACTATTAGCATGACTGACATTTTGTAAAACCAATGTCACTAATCACAGAATGGCATCTCAGATTAAGTGATCTAGTAAGTTGAGTTAAAAGTTGAGTTAAAAGACTAGAATGACTATTGTAAAAGAAAAGATTGTGAAGGAAAAAAATATTGTTATGTATGTAAATGAGATAGAGTGGCACATTCGTGATGTCACACCTGAGATGAAAAAAAAACCTCATTGAAGCTGAAGACAGTGAGGTGAAGCTCCTGTGAGCAAGCAAGGCGATTTCTGAAAGTTCTATTGATGAAAGGATTTTCTGGTGTTTTTGATGTAACAGTTAGGTGATTTAGATCATAAAAGTCTTTCTTTTGTTGTAAGTAATCTGGTTATGATTTACTTTGTCAGTTCTTGTGGATAATTTAATTTTAAGTTAGATTTAAAGTTTGCCAACTGTCAGGGAAGTTTTTTCAAAATTAGTTTTGGTTTTGTTTTTGATTGGATTAATTACAGTTCTAATTTTTATAATTTTTATGTGGTTTATTATTACTAATATAGTTTTGTGTTTTTTTATTAACCCATTTGTACATCACTTGTTCATAATATTTTCAATAAATTCTTGTTACTCTTGATGCTGAATCAATTATTTTTGTATTTTTATTGCACAAAGTGTTGTTTTGAACTAATTCATTCATGCTATTTCTGCCCATTTCTGAAGTCCAGACCTGGTATCCAACTGATCCTTGTCTTTCACTGTTTTATGTAATGCTGTTTCATTAGGTTTAATTCAGGACTGATACAGTGCATTACAGACTGATCATCTATCTGGTTTGACTCAGAAAATATGTCCAAATTTAGGCATTCAGTGAATCTGAAGTAATATATTCAAACCAATAGATATTTCATTTATCAAGTACTTTTGAAAGATTCTTTCCAGAATTGTGAAATTAGAGTTATGTATATAATACAAAGGTTAATGTTCACTTAGACAAGAAAGGACTTCCTTCAAAGCAACAAAAACAAATCCTATAAAATACATAGAACAACAAATAAGGAGTTTAAAAATAATGCAGTTTTATTTCACATATGTATAAAACTTTCATGTAAAGAATTTTCAATTTTCTTGTAGATGTAATGATACAAACAAAAATTATCACTGTTAATATCTAAATGGCATCTCCTAATATGAAAATGGGAGGTATTTTTGGTTAATCTACTTAGGACACAAAGACCAAATCCACAAGGTGGTAAAATGCTATTAAAAATTTATAATACAAAATTCTGTCAAAATATTTAAGCCAATAGGAAAAACTTGAAAAATTAAATTTTGCAGATTACTTCAACAAAATTGTAAGGGAGGAAAAAGGTAGTAAGGAAAGTTGGAAAATCTGTTAAACACTAAACAAACATTTTTATGAGAATAGAAAACACTTGAAACCATTATAAAACAGAATAATCAACAATGTTATAGGGGGGTACAGTCGACCCCCCTATAACACTGTTGATTATTCTGTTTTATATAAATTCCATGTTGTACAAGTCTCTTAGATTTTACAAATACATGAGCCATTTACAGCCTGACACACGTATTTGTAAAATCTAAGTGACTCATACAACATGGAATTCATATAAAACAGAATAATCAACAGTGTTATAGGGGAGTTGACTGTAAATATTTTAACTCCTTTAACCTATTCAATGTTGAAATTTTTATTTGTTGCCTGTGACACTATGTTGAATTTTCATCGATGTTAAGCCTAAAAAAATCTTTTTTTTAAATAATAATTGTGTTTACTGTATTGTAAAAAATTATATTTTTATGTTTCACAAACAAAATAAATATATTGAATAATATAGAAACAAAAAAAATTATATTTTAAAAGTTCATTTTAATATAAAAATTGTGATGCATAGCGACGTCTAGTATCAAAAACGTTCCGATGCAAACACGAAAATATTCGGGATCACCCAAGCAGGTCAATGAGGTCAACACGAATATTTTCGGGAACAACGTAGGACAGGTTAATGGTATTAAGTTTTTTTTTCTAATAGATACTCATGGAGTCATCTGTTTTTGTTTCATGGTTGAATATATAAAGTTGTTTTAATTTGGACCTTATTCACTGAACTAGAAAAAGCATCTGACCAAACCAAAAATAGTATTCAAGTATGGATTAAAAATCTACAGAAAAAGGAATTAAGAGAGCAGCTATAAAATTTTTAACTAATTCTGCAACATAACAAAAGTATTTTATTATTCTGTCAGTTTGTTCTCTAAATGTCAACTTACTATCAATTATTATTCCCAGATAGTTAATAGAATGAACATATGTATATATATTTTTTTATCAATAAACACAATTCCAACTGTTTGATGTTTTTCATTTTAGTGCCATAATTGATTTAATGTCAATTAGAGGTTAACAAATAGTGGCACTAGTCAAAGTTTGACTATACAGTACATTCTAATTAAAAAAATACAGATGATAAATTGATATATAATAAGCATTTCTCAAAAGTATGCAATAAATAATGAAATTCTAATTTGATTTAAATTATTAGACAGAAATTTGACTTTTACTAAAAATTTGCTTGCAGATTAAATGTTTTCATTGATGATAAAAGAAGGAATTTTTTGACGTTCTTAAAGAAAGACTTAATTATTCACCAGAACTAAAGAGAATATATAACAAAAATTAAAATGTGATAAAAATTCATTATAAAAAGAAAATTGAAAAAATTTGAGATAAATATTTAATGAAAAAACTTTGATATTCAAGATTAATAATTAAGATGAAGATTACTCTACAATGTAATTATTGTACAATATACTGTAGGTTAATTACAATATTAATTTCATCTATGTTTTAAATTTTTTATTATATTTCATGACTAGAAGTAATTCCTTAGAAAATTACAAACTCATATTTTTAGCATAACAATATAGAAAATTTAAATTAGATTAATAGCCTAAGATACTTACATCTTTTTTTACTTGAGTAACTATATCTAAGTATGACATTCCAGGCTTGACCATTAACATTTCAGCACCCTCTTCAATATCCCTTTTCTGAAACATTAATAAAAAAGTTAAAATTTTTTATTCAATTTTATAAATATTTGTAATATAGCAATTAAGATATTGCAGAAACTTTCCCAATTACAATTTAATCAGCTAAATATAAAAATTCATTTAAAAACTAATTTTTTTCAGATTTCTATTCAGTTTATGTATTTTATTTAATTACATTTATTTATTTAATTAATTAATCAGTGAAAATATTAAATATGGGATTGCATTTCATCTTTAATTTAAATGACAATCCTTAACATAAGACATGTTGAATATACATAAACAAAAGGAATAATTAAAGGAATAATTATATATATATTAAAACAAAAGAAAAAGTGAAATAGAAGATAACTGAAAGAGGAAAATAAAATGCACAATGTACACATTCTGATAATATGATGTATTACTTAAGATTTAAGATACACTTCACATTTCTGAACTTAAAGTTGAAGTGTGCTTGAGATGCTTCTGAAATTTGGAGTATTCTTTGTCACTTTTCAAAAATACATATATAATGAAATTTTGCAGTATTTCCTGTATGTTTTGGAGTTAATTATATCTTTATTTTATCATTAACATTTTAATTCAATTAAATTACTACAGAAAATTTAAATCAAAAATATGTTATGCTTTTTTTATATATCTAAACTTTCTGAGTAACTTTATACTGAATTATTAAAATATTTTTCACTAAAATTTCATTTACTTACAATAGCCAGGTGGGCTAATCCCGAACTTCCAGGAGGTAATTGATAGCATCGTCTATCCCCAAAAGATGGAGCAGAATTGGCAGCATTTCTGAAAAAAATATTCAATTTATATTTCATTTAAATTAACCTTTAATTAGTTATGTTTATATGTAAATAACTCTTTAAATACAATCACAAATAAAATACATCTTTAAAATATTTTAAAACCAAGCATTTTTAACTTTAATTAAACTAAAAATAAATGAACAATGAAAATAGAGATCTAATAAATTGAGATAATATAAGTTATCTATATTTTGTTAATACTCCAAATTTCACTTAAAGTTGTATAATTAAAGATGCTGTTTACATTTAAAGTTACTACAGTAAGTTAATATAATTTTTTAAATGAATTTGTTAACTTTGAAAATATTGAATTTCAATCCAAAAAATTATAGTCTATTTTCGTTCTACAGATATAATTTCATTTAGAAATTTTAATGATTTATTTTTTATAATTAACAACAACAAAATTAGATTGTAAAAAACAAAAATTAAGTACAATAGAACTCCAATTATCTGAGGTAATATGAACCAATACTACCATGGATAAATGAAAACTTGGATAAAATGGACAGCAATGGCCATTCTGGATTAAAAATTAAGAATATATAAGATTTAGTCTTACATTGTATCATTTTAAGCCTCTTTTTATACCATAGTGAATTTTATATATATATATATATATATCATTTATTATATAGCAAATACATAGAATAATTTAAATAATAAAAGTGTATTATTGTAAATTACATTTTAATATGAATAGTTTGTCTCATATTGAATTTAAATGATAAAAAGTAACAAAAACAAATACTTGTAATGAATGATGTTATCATTTTGAAATTTCCACAAAAAGTCCTCTAAAATATTTTGTTTTATCATAGTTTCTCCTTTCTTTGCCTCAATGTTCTGCAGTCATTTCAGCATCAGCGACTTGTTCAATACAGTGGAGATTAAAAGTACTACAATATTTACATGCGTGATGTATTCACAGCAAATCTTTTATGAATTATAAGAAAAGTAATTTATTCATTTACAGGTTTACCTCGATCATACAGCAGCTCAGTTAACTGGGGATTTACTGTGCTTTTATTTTGAAAAAAATCAGTTATTGTTAATCTCAGCCTTATTGTTGAAAATCTTTAAATAGTAATAGTAAATAATTTGCATTATAGTGTTAGTACAAAATAATAGTATATTTATAAATTCAATATTTACAAATTTTAGATATTGCTTTTTTTTCAATTTTGGTCTTACCCTGTGGGCACAAAGAGAAACTTTTTAAATAGCCAAAATGGGTTCAGCCAAGTCCACAATGCAGGCAACTGAATGGTGAGGGACAAGGCCTGACATGGGATGGCTTGTCCAAATTCAATCCCAGACTCTCAAGCAGTAAGTTGACAGCTTAACTGCTTTATCTATTTGGCCATCAATTTTTGATATTCAATATTTTACCTTAATATACTTTAATATTTAATAATAAAGTTTTTTATTATTATTTTATATATATTTTTTAAATCAAATTGAAAGACATAATTGTAATGCATTTTTTAGTACACAACAATGTGTTACCAAAGAAAGAAATTTGTTCTTTTCTTAAAATCTTAGTTACTTTGATTGAAATTTGTTATAATTTTAAATTTAGCAAAACACAAATTATTCAAAACAACAGAAAAACTGAATATTCATAAGGTGATCAAATAGTTATAATTAGATATTAAATGAGCAATTATTTTATTGTGACATTGTCACAATGTCAGGCTGCAATTTTTAATCATATTTTTAATTTATTCAATTTAAAATATATGCTCCCACCTCAAATTAATAGTGTCTTGCCCATCATCTATCTAATTCCTTTCAGGGAAAAATTTTTTAATTGAAATAACATGATTTCTGGTGCAAACCAGAAGTTCGTATATAGTTAAAGAACTTCTTGCCCCTAATATTTCCATATCTGGTCTCAATTTTCATGTGTCTAACTCCTCCATTCTCAAGAATAAGGAAAGACAGACAGACACTGACAAAAGTGGAAATTTATAGGTCAACAATTTTTTCAAATGGCAGTCCAATTGTCAAATTTTATAAGTTTTATAATCAAAAATTTCTGTGAAATGGCACAGTAACTTTTGTTCAAATAATATAATGTCACATCAAAGTATACTTGTATCAAATATATGTCACATCAAAGTAAAACATTCTGAATAATTTTTACATTAGTCAGAAAACATATTCAATTAGCTATATTGACAAATTATTGATACATTCATTGAAGATCAATAGTTTAAATTCATTATCTCTTTCCTTTTAGCTCTTCAATTCAATAAATTAATGAAAAATTATAGATAACTGCACATATTATTTAGAAAGCTATATATAATTCTATATATTCTGAAAAATTCTTCATAAAGATAATATCTCACTTTAATAAAGTTATCACTATTTGACTAAACTACAGCTAAAACAAATCTGATTTATACATAAATTTTATTGCCTAATTTTCCAAAAATGAACACAAAATTAAAAAAATGGATTTTAAAAGAAATTAAATTTAAGTTATTTTAATAAAATTGATCAATTTAACAGGGATGCACAACCTTTTGTGAAGAAGGGCCAAATTAGGATTAAGTTTACTGACTGGGGGCCGGACCTCCAAGCGATTAATGCAATGGCTGAGATTGGATGCTGGCAGCAATCTTCTTGATGTCTGGTGTAATGACAGATGTTGAAACAACCAGCAGATTTTCCAAATTCTCGTTGATTAACCTGTTCCGTGTTTTGCACTTGTTTAAATTCATAAGCGAAAACGCTTGTTCGCATACATAGGTACTGCCAAACATGCTTGCACAAAATCGAGCATTGTCTTTCAGTTTTGGAAATGATGTATCTGGCAGTTCTTTGTAGAATGTGAGGAGATTAGAATTTTTGAACTGTGATTTCAATTCATCACTGCACTGGATGTCTATCAACTCAAGTTGGACATCTGGAGGGGCATCTTCCACTTTCACATCAAATGGAGTTGAAAAAAGTTGCAGGTAGATCTTGTATTTCTGGAATTCACCAAACCTCTCATTGAATGATGTAAGGAGGGTGTTAACTTGGTCAGAGTAATCCATCTTCATATGTGGGTATTTCTCTTTCATGGCCTTGCAATGTGGAAAGTGTGTAAAGTTCTCTGATTGCATGTGGGACTTGAAAAGTGATAGTTTGGTCATAAATGCATTGATGTTACTTGTCAACTGAGAAACAAGTTGCATCTTTCCCTGCAATCTCAAATTAAGGTCGTTTAGATAAGCAGTAATGTCAGCAAGGAAAGCTAAATCACACTGCCATCTTTGTCCCTCCAAATTCCTTGTAGTGTTCCCCCGTTCTTTGAGGAAAGTGATAATAGGCCCCAATAGCTCCACAAATCTCTTGAGGACTGTTGCCTTGCTCAGCCAACGAACTTCAGTATACGTGGGCAGGTCAGCATAATCAGCATCTATTTCTTCAAGAAATGATGTGAAGAGTCGATGGTTGAGTCCATGACGGCGGATTAAGTTCACAGTATCATAGACATCTTTCAGCAGACGTTCAAATCCCAGCTTCTTTGCACAAAGTTGCTGTTGGTGAATTATGCAATGATACTGGACTAACTCCTTTTGCCTGTCCCCAAGGTGGTTTTTCAGCAAGGTGACCATGCCATTCTCACATCCAACCATAGATGGTGCTCCATCAGTGGCAATGCTGGATAGCTTGTCAAAGTCCAGTGCTGATTTGTTGCAAACGCTCAATAAACCAGTAAGTAAGTCAGCACCAGTTGTATGTCCGGAAAGTGATGCCATGCCAAGAAATTCTTCATTCACAATAAAATCTAGTGAAACACTTCTAATAAACACAATCACTTGTGCTGTTGATGATATGTCAGTGGATTCGTCCACAGCCAAAGAAAAATAAGCACAGTTTGCAACTAAAATATTAAGTTGGCCAGAAATGTCTGATGCAATTTGCGAGATTCTCCGTTGTATCGTCATGCGGTTAAGACTGATTGTTTGAAAACACTTTGTCTTCTCAGGACACATCTTCTCACTTGCGATGATAAGACACTTTTTTATCATATCGCCATCTGTGAAAGGTTTCCCATTCTTGGCTATTAAAGCAGATATTTCTAGGCTGGCTTCAACAGCCGCATCCAATTCTCCAGATTGTTTCTTGAACACATTTTGTTGGCTGATTAGTGATCGTCGTAACGATTCGATTTTCCGTTTGCGTTCCGTACCTTGCAGAAGGAAATCCTTGTGTTGGCTTTCATGATGTCGCTTCAGGTTGAATTCTTTTGGCACTGCTATTGTTCCATTGCACAAAAGGCAAATAATGCTGTTGTTCTGTTGCACAAAACAGTACTTGTTAGTCCACACTTCCACTTCTTGAAACTGATGATTCTCGCGATTGACCTTGCGTTTAATGCCCGGCGCCATACTGTTCACTCTGCAAAACAATGTCTCATTGTGCCGAAAATTCTGAGGCCCGCAACAAATCATGTTTGAGATAAGGCAAGCTAGACTACCACGTGCTTTGTTCTGTATCCACTCTGACCAAAGACTAAAGAGGCGGGGACAGAAGACTATTACGCACACGTGGCCAGGCAGGTCTTAATTCGTTCGACCCCTGTCCGGGCGTCTCCACCATTTCTCAGAATTTGTGAGTCAGATCGTCAACATGCCAGGTGCAGGACACTAATCCATCATAAATGTGGTTACCATTCTTACCTAAATTATATTTATGGCCCGTCAGTTTTACCCCCGTGTTCAGAAATGAATCAAAAGTGATTAACACAGTGCAGTGGAAAATCTGAATATTTTAAATATAATTATTAAAATTGCGATATCTCGTTTCAAATTGGCGCTAGAATCAATCTGTTTTTTTTTTTTTTTCTGTCCTAAATATATCACAGTTTACGACTGTTAAATTTCAAATAAAATAAAAATTAAAAATAATAATTTAATTTTAAATTTACGAAAAAAAGAATGTAAAAATAAAAGTAAATAAAAAGTTCCAATTAATTTACTACTTAAATAACCTAAATATATCTGTTTTCTTTCAAACAAAAAAAACCGCAGCTTTCTAGCTACACGGAATCATTTTACAACCCTCTTTGTTGACAAGTTTATGGCTTGACGCGGTTTGTAATAATTATTAAATCCAAAATATTTTAATGCAAATGGCTTCCTTTTAGTCGTAATGACTCTATTCCAACTACAGTATTAATTTTCTTGGTCCAACTTAATAATAATAAATTTGATGTGAAAAATTTTTTTTCTATTCTTTGTCTATGGAGAGATATTGTTGTAAATTATTGGTTTTATAGCTTTTTGTACATTCCTTTTTGAACTCTGGTTAGTTTTTTTCTAGTTTGAATGACATTAGGTTGACGAATAAGCGTCTTTTCAGAAAAGATTGATTCAAATTCGACTACACCAATCAGAATCTAGAATGTAAACAAATGCTAAACGTTATTTTCATGGTTTTTCAGCACTATTTTTATTTATTTTTGTTATTTGACGCTATTTAGACGAATAAGCAAGTTTTCCGAAGCATAAAATTGAAGATTTCCCGCCAAAATAGAAACTTCCTGATAACATTGGAAATGACGTTCTAACATCATTTTATTTGATTTGATTCTTCAAAAAATCGTTATAATACTATGTATTAGACTTAAAATATTCGATATCTAAACCAGTAGAAATAGACTTATTTATAGAACAACCCCCCATTTCTCACGTCAGGGAAAGTTATAAAACAGTTGGGTGCTAATGACTTTGTGAAAGGGAAAAGTTCTACACTTTCGTTAGAAACTTCGAAAGAAGGGATTTGGCCTATACCGTCCGCGGGCCGCATGAACATTGATAAGGGGCCGTATGTGGCCCGCGGGCCGCAGGTTGTGCACCCCTGAATTTAATAAAAAAGTATTTTATGCCATCTCAATTTGGCTAAAATTTTTCAGGATCAATTAGCCAAATTAATACAATTTAAAATTTTTAGCTTAATCCCTATTTTAAATCAAACTCTGTTACTTACCTAAATGGACCATAAAAACTGGAAGCAAACTTTGCTGCATAACTAAGTACGGCTACAGAGGAAAGTTTCTTAGAATTAGAAAGAGCTTTTTTTATAGCACCAACTCTGCCATCCATCATATCGGAAGGAGCAATAACATGACACCCTAAAAAATATTAATGCAAAAAGAAAAAGATCAAACTATTCAACATCAAGATGTTATATTGTTTTAAGCTTATATCTATGTATCAATTTCAATATTTCAATGTATAAGAAAATATTTTGTGAATAAAAGTTTTCAAAAACAGATTTTGCAAATATTTTGTAAAAATTTTATACTTGATAAAAATTAAAATTTTGTTCAACCTTTGTGTTCTCTTGAAACTTCTGTTTTGTTTCTGAAAAAGAAAAGTTAACTAGGCAAACATGCTTTGTTTTATTTATTTTATTAAACTTTAACTGTTTTAACATTGCAATTTATTTGTTATCATCGTTCAGACAAAATTTTTTCCAATTTTTAACATTTTATGAAATTGTTATAGTAAATGAATAATAAAACAATTTAATAAAAATAACTGACAAAGATTAGGCAATTATTTTTAATAATTCATTAATATCTGAAAATAATGGCTTTATCATTTTTGAAAACTGATGTTTGTATCAAAAAATAAATTAAAATCTAGTTTGGAACAAGAATAAAAGAAAGAAATATAAAATGATGATAATAACTTCAAAAATTTATGAGTGTTTTTGAGGATACATTTCTCCATTGTGAGTTCCTAGTACTTCAAATCTTTAAAGCAAAACAGTTAACATTAACATCTTAAATAAAATAAAAACTCAGATACAAAAATATCACTCATTCTAACAAAAAATTTATTTTATTTAAAAGAAATTTGTTTCTACTTGCAGTTAAAAAACTTTAGATTTTAAGGTTAAATTTTATTTTGAACTGTAGTAGATATTCAAAAATTAATTTTGTTTTTTCTTCTACTTCCATAATTATTTAACTTTTTCAGTTACAACAAATGGAAGACAAGAAAATGTAACTTTAAAGATTGTTTTAAAATTTGTTTTATAAGATTATTTTGTTTATTTAATCTACACACTAAAATCAAGAAGCCAAATTTTAAATTTATGAGCTAATATAAAAAATAAGATAAAAACTGAAATATGGAGAAATTTATTGTGTAGAGAGATAATTGATCATAATTCAAATGATTAATTACATAAAAATTTATTAAAATCTTAAATGCATAAGAAAAAATTTTTACATTAACAATTTTATAGTAGAAAGAAATTTTCAAAACCATATAAAAATAATTAAAATTTTCCTGATGTACGAAATGCAATGATGAATCTCAGAGCATCAAGAATACTGTTCCTAAACAATAATACATAAAAAGCCATCAAAGGAAAATATCCATGGCTGATGAGGTTAAGGTATCAGCCTATTGCTCTGGAAGACCTGGAATCAAATCCAAGAGAGCAACTTGTTCAGAATTTCTCATGGAAAGTCTGACCTGGAATATCAAGTCCTGTCCTTCATTTCATGCAGCCTGTGAAAGAACTATGAGGGATTGATAAAACAGGTTTCTTTTTATCTTACATGTGATTTTGCATTTTCATTGCTATAAGTACATACAAACATTTGTATATATTTTCATGTGAATTTACATTTTTATATATTAAAGACAAGTGTCAAATGTAAATGTTTTTATTTAAACTATAAAAGTAGTTTATGTCATTTATTTTTTAAATTTTTACATTACAGTTCTTTACAATTTTTAAAGTATCATATTACAGCACTTTACTGGAAGTTTGAAAATTTGTTTATTTACCTGTAATGCTTATAGCACACTATCAATTTTAGTTGAGCAAGTTTCTAGTTGACAAATTTATTTGAATGTGAGTGTTCACACTGGCAACTTTTTAATCACAGCATGCTTTATTTTTCAGACAGCAAAACTGTTACTTTTTAAAATGTAAAACAGGAAATGCAATTAGACATAGCATTGACTAGAGATTCTTTAGTTGCTGACTCTTCTGGTGAGTCAGCAACTAAAGAATCATTAGTGCTCTAATTTTTGCATTTGGAATCAAAATTTAAAAATTACTAGGAATTACCTAGAAAAACTAGTATGTTTTTAAAATTTACCATATTATTGCTACTAAAAAATGGTGGTAAATTTACAATCCCTAATATAAAATATAAAAATTTCATGATTCAATATGTTTAAACACAACTTATTGAAAATATAGAAAATTTTAACAAAATAATTTTATAACTTAATTTAATAATAAATTTTAAATCATTAAAATACCTTCTTTTGCATAAGCGACTGATATTTCAGCAATACGACAAATACTTTTATCATTATCAATATTTCCATCCTCATCCAAAATACCTAAATAAATAGTTTGGAATTAATACTGCTACAATTAACAAATTAAAATAAAAGAAAAAATATTCAAAGTGAAAAGCAAAGAATAAATAAATATTTATGAAATTATTTACCACAATGTCCATGATTTGTATAGCCACAAAGACAAACATCACAACAAATAAGTAACTCTGGAAATGATCCCTTTAATTTTCTTATAGCTTGAATCACGGGTGATTTAGGATTATCAGCTGAGGAACCTCGTGCATCCTAAAAAACAATGTTCAATCACACTAATGCATTAGACTGAGAACATTATTAGTCCTTTAACTTTCAAATAATTTCTAAACAGATACAAATATCAGAATAATAGTATATCTACAAACTAAATTGATGATATTGGTTCCAATAACATCCATATTAATAATCTTGTGATTAGATTTCTTTTAGCATATGTCCTTTTTAGTATTTTAGCAAAATTTATATCATGTAATGCATATTCTTAGAATATTCTTGCAGCTAGAAAGATGTTTCAATTATAAATTTTAGTTGTTTGCAATAAATAAAATGACAAAGAATTAATTTATATTATTTAACTTAATGTTACAATGTAAAAAATTAAAATATGTTCAATTTTACATCAAGAAGTTTTAACTTTTCTTTTGATTTAACTTTTTTTTTTTTTGGAATTTCAATATTCCATTTTCAGTATCCATTAACTCTCATCTTCATGTGAAGAGTATTAAGAGCTAACTTGGAGCATGTGTATCTGTGGGATACATAATGCAAATTAATGCAATTTTTATATTTTTACAGATGTATATAATTGATTATGATTATATCTTCAATTTCTACATTTTCTCCACTAAGAGTATAAAATACTTGTGGGTTTAAAAAAAAGTTTTTATATATATTTTTTGTAATTTGATCTGTAAATGCAAGAAATTAAACTTATCAAATTTCAAATCACTATAAAATATATCAACTTTCACTTATTGACATCAGAATTGTGTTGTATTTTACAGGATTATATTATCTTTCAGGTTCAGGATAATAAAGCTTTGTTTATTGTCTCCCACAAAAGTAATAGATCAGCCGATCTCCCACTGTGAAGGTCAACAAACTGCTAATTGTTGTATTACTTTGTTTTCAAAAGCTCCCTTCTCTGTCAGTAGTGGATCAAATGACTAACAAATTGTTTTCTTGCACTCAGTGGAATGTTTTCTTTTAGATTTAACAACTATTGTTGCCAATAATAAATTCTATAATTTTATTTTTAATTTTTTTCGTGAGATAGTTGTGCACGTTTCAAAACTTGGATACATAAATTCAAAAATAGACATTGCTCAAAATATTACAGAAAATATCAAAATTTGTTGATGATTGTTTACACAGGTATGTTTTATATATGGGAAATGAATTGCTCAAAACAATAATGCATGGACCAGCAATAATTCAGCAATTTACTAAATAATGTGAAATGTGCAAATTTAAAACTTAATAATTTAAAAAATATTAATAAAATTACAAAAAAATGTTTGGGTCACAATTACTAAATGGTATTGCTACATAATGAACATAAATTTTAATTGTTGCAAAATCAAAAGTATTAAATTTCTTATCTGATTGCGAGAAAACCAGGCAATAACTCTGATGAAAGAAAATTGCATTGTCAAAAATAGTTGCAATGGCCTATTTGAAATGAACTAATATTGGTATTGGTCCAGTCGTTTAAACCATCACAACTGTTATGTGCAACAATCAAGAGTACAGCACTTTCACACTGAGAAATAATCTACTGCAGGTGGTAGTAAGGTATTGTTTTTTGTAAAATTTCACTGGAAAAAAGGTTATAAATTTGAAAAATGCTGTAGGAATTGCTTCAGAACATATCAGTTGACAACTAATACAAAGTCTGAAGTTCAACTGTTATTTATTTTTGAAATTCATAGAAAAAAATGCCATGTATTTTCTGGATATATACACCCCAAGATTAGAGTTAAAATTTATAAATGAGAGAAGATTCAATGATAACTTAAGATTAAAAAGTATACAGAAGATAAATTTAGTAATCATTAAAATAGATAAATATTCCATTCAAATTATTGTAAAAAGTATAGTATTAAAAAGAATTTCAAAAATATATAGATATTATGGAGTTAGAAAATTGAAAAAAAAATATGAGTCTAAAAATAATAATAATTAGAAACAGTTTACCTAATGTTTTCTGGTTTAACATACAAAAAGGAACTAGCTCTGCCAAAATTATTTGGGTTTATATGTACTGTACAGTACATAAAGAAAAGAACATTTGATAATTTATATGAATGATACCTTTAGATAATTTAATTTAATTTGTCATCAAATGTACTGTCTTTTAAATTTAAGTTTGTTATTTATTTCTTTTATTTTGTTTCAATTTGAAGTGTATGATGAAAATAAAGCTCTTTTGGATAAATACTACAGTAGAATATTGTTTTAATGGATCACTCAGTCCACTGAAAATCATCCCTTATTCTGAGAATTTGTTATATCAAGAACAATGGATTTCCCAGGAAAATATCCACTTTTAATTTCCTACATATAAGAAACACCTATACTTGAAATTATTCATTCTCTTCAGATCTCTATTCTTTATCTATAGACAAAAACGACTACTAATCTTGACACTGCGGTGAGTAACAACAATCCACAAAACCTTTTTATAACAGTGTTGTGTCCTATAACAATCTTCACAAACGTTTTCAACCTCTACTGAGGTCCGCTTCAGGTGGTGACTAAACGGTGTCTCCTCTTGACCATTGGAATGATGACGCCCAAGATGTAAATAATGCATGTATCGTGTTTCACCCCTCTGCTTGTCCCAGTTCAAATTCTTCGAATAAGTATCTCCTGCGCGATCGTTTCTCCATCTTTAAAGTTGATGCAAGTGCCCCCAATGTTGGCTTTTTAAATCTCCCAGGCCTCCAGGTGATGGATGTGATCAATACGAAACGCCTGTCTGATTACTTTGGTGTTTTGGTAGTATGTCCGAATTTCAGGGTCGGTAACATAGGCCGACAAGACGGTGGTGTGCCTGTTATTTTTAATATCCGATTGATGCTCACATAACCATTTTTGTGTTGAGCAGATGGTGGAGCCAATGTAAACTAAGTCTCTATGGAATCTATCGTCCCTGATGGGAATGGAGTATACCCCTGGGGCCCTGTTGAGATCAACCGCGTCCTTGGCATTGCACAGCAGGTCGTAAATAGTGCCAGTTCTCCTGTACGCGATCTTCGTGTGATTACGGCAAGCAATCTCCCTGTATAGGGGGTCTAAATGTTGGTTGAACCGAACAATCGCACGTCTATTGTTCTTAACGGGTTTGTGGGCACTGCTCAATGTAGGCAGGGGGCTTGCACTTGTGTTCCCAAGTGAAAAAAAAAAAAGTCTGCAGTAAGAAGACGGGGGACACCCCACAAGCACTAAAATAGGGAACTTGCTAAACCTTAAGAATTAAAACATCCTGAAAAATGTAAGAAAGAATAATGTAAAAAGTTAGTGAGTATTGTCAGAAACTAGGTTGCCAGGCAAAGAGAAAAAAGTAAATGTTAGATGTATGTATGCAAATGAGGGGAGTGATCTCAGACAGTTTTGTGACGTCACCTCAGAGCATAAAACCATTACCTCGAGCGAAGATGATCGAGGTGAGCTACAGATAGCAGCGAATGAGTGAAGTCTGAAAGCAATCAAAGCGACTCCAAACAATACAGTCGACCCCCCTATAACGTGGGTTCCTATAACAGAAATTCCTATAACGTAGCGAAAAATTGTAGCAATATTCGTATAAAGGAACTCCTAAAACTTCGTCACTGACTCGTGTTGTGACAAGATTGATAGAATCTGGACCAATAGTGGATGAGCAGCCAAACTACTTTCCTCCACCCTGCGCCATGCTACGGAGCGGCTAAATTGAGTTTGCTATCATCTGTACAGTATTATATATAAATTATATATAAATTAGGTACTGTACATATAATTATATATTAATTACATATAAATTAGGTACTGTATATATAATTATATATTAACTTAATTTATTGTAACTTTATTATAATTATACATATGCTTTCCGCCGCCTGGCGCCACGCTACGGAGAGTTTAGGCTAGTAAGTTGAGTTTATTATCGTCTGTACAGTATCTAAATTAGGTACCGTAAGTCTAATACAGCACTAATTTTATACATTTCTTGTGAAAGAAACATTTCTTATTCAACGGCCATAAAAATTATTTATATTAATGATGTCTCCAAAGGTCAAGTTATTTTTCTGAGAAAAATTTGTTATCAGAAATCGCGGCCGCTGTTTCGTGCGCTGTTCCGCGACGAAAACAAGCTTGAGCAACGGCGTAGTTGAACGGTGCACACTTGGTAAGTAATCCTACAATTTTTTGTTTATAGCATAGTTTATACGAATTATTCCCAAAAAATTATACGTGTTTTGGAAATGTTGAGTCGAATTAGTCTAGAATCGGTTAATTTTATAGAAGAAAACCTTTCAAACAGCCTTAGTCTGTAAACTTCACACCTGTCGGGCTGCGATTGGCTCATATATTTAATGATTCCTACAACGTAAAATTCGATTAACGTGGAACGTATCTAAGCGTTATAGGGGGGTCTATTGTAGAAGTATTTCCAGATATAGGATCAAGAGTTGAGGAAAAGTCTTGAGGATTAAGGATAAAGGATAACAGGTTCCTAGTATATTGAGGTGATGGTTAGGACCTTAGTTGATAAGACTTGTTATATATAAGTTAAGTCTTTGAGTTTTGTTGAGTTCCAAAGGGGAATAGTGTTAAGTTAGTAAGTAGGTTGAATTGAGTTTTGTTGGGTTTGTTCATATTGTTGATTTTCCCTGAATAAATTGTTTTTGCTTTTACTAATCTTGTAAATATTTGTTACTTGAGTTACTATTAAATATTTGATCATTGATTAACTTTGTAAATATTTCTTTCAGTGCACGCGCAAGTCCAGGCCTGGCTAATTAACTGCGAATCCACATAAAGTACCCGTTAGGTTAACAGACATTTCACCAGCACATAGTTTAGTGTCAGCAATCGTCTTATCGATTAAATAACAGTACTTTACAGTGAGACGTAGTGAAACAGAGTCTGGTGAAAATGTCTGTGGAAGAACAATGTGCAAATATCAAATTTTGTGTGTTAATGGGGGAAAACACCTTCTGAGACCTAGAAGATGCTTCAGGAAGTCTATGTTGAATCTTCCACGAAGCATTCTCAAGTTTATGACTGGGAAAGATGCTGTCTTGAGGAATGAGAAAGTATAGCTTTTGACTTGCAAAGTGGTCATCTGTTGACATCAACATCTGAGGAGAAAGTGTCAATTGTATGCAAGATTGTGAAGTAAGACAGACAGTAGTCAATTGAGCAGATCGCCAAGACAGCAGGAATTTTGGTTATAAGTTGTCATTCCATCCTACATGATCAATTGAACCTGTACCATGTTTGCCAACACATGGTGCCACGAATGCTCATGGCAGACCTTGTGCAATTTCTACCTCTTTCCTCAGTTCCTCTACCTTCTTGAAAGATGCCATCAAGGGATGCCACATTTCAAATATGAAGATGAGGTTATAGAGAGTGCAACATCTGCATTACAGGCACTGTCACAAGACTGCTTCCAAGAATGTTTTTAGCAGCTATACCAGCATTGGCAAAAGTGTGTGGTTGCTGAAGAACAATACTTTGAAGGATGCATTGCTTGATTTGTCAATTTTACACATACTTTTGAGTAATAAACCAATTCTGGGAACTTTTTTTTGAAGCTATCTTATGTATACTTCTTAATGTAGAAGACGTGGTTACTGTATCTTCAAATTCTGTGCGTAGCGTCTTTGTAATCCAAACGATAATTTTGGTAGACAATCACACAGCAATTAGTTAGAAAAACTTAATGGTTTATTTAAAAGAATACTTTTTTAAAATTCAGATGCATTTCAGGTTGGTTTGTATTTCCAACCCTCTTCAGTGCTGTTAAAATTACAAAAACCAAGGCAAGTTTCACGACATTGGTAAATAGGATTTAACATAAACGCAGGTTGACAATAACATAAAAACCTTACATGTTATATAATGGTACAGCATAGACATGTGCGACAATATTTTTATTACATAGTTGTATGACTATTTCCTATAATATAAAAAAAGTAAAGGGCATGGTCGTTTAACACATCATTTACATGAAGAATATATATAACATAGATTATTAATTTCAAAACATCTATAAACACTTACATTTTTAGTTAAATTGTATTATTCCTGATAAAAAATGGAACAGAGTACAAATTGACAACGGGTGTTATCCGGTGTTCACTGAGTAACAGTATACCGACAAGTGATGTTATTTAAACCATTCCTAACATTCCATACAAGGGGGTGTGCTTTAAACAATATTTAACGTGTGGAGGCGCTCTCTATTAGTTTATACCATTGGGGGTCTATTGACATGCCTTCTGAAATATTAATGAAGTTATCTTTAGGGTGTTCTAACTAATTGCTGTTTGATTGTCTACCAAAATTATCGTTTGGATTACAAAGATGCTACACACAGAATCAGAAGGACTATCTTATGTATGTTGAAAAAATTATTTAAATTATGATCTAATTTTTCTAAGTTGTTATTATGCTGTACTTGCATATCAACAACATAGAACTATATAAACAGAAACATAATAGCAAAACAACAATTTTTAAAAATATAAAACCGATGAATAAAACTAAAATCTGAATATATTAAACTATTTTGAAATTATCTATATTGCTCATTATTAATATCAAAAAAGTGTTTCAATAAAGTTTGATTTAAAATATGCAATTTTTTTCTACAGTAAAATTATTACCACTTATTTAGTAATACTGTAATATTAAATTGAAATATATTAAGTGTCTTGAGAGTTGTTTGTATATACCTTGGGAAGATTAGTGAGCACTCCAAATATTAGTACAGAACTAAGTCCTTTTTTTACTAATGGTGTTAAGTGATCTTCAAGTTTATCTATTCCATATCTTTTGATCCCTGGCATAGATGAAATTTCTTGAATTTCATCAGGTGTATCTCTGAAATAAAAAGAATTTTAATTTATCATTGTATTCACATTAAACAATTTATATTTTGAAATATTAATGACTAAGCTATTAAATATAAAAATACTTGAAATTAAAATGTAAAATAAGAATTAAGTTATCAGATACAACTATATAAATAACAAGATTATATAACAATTATTGTTATATAACTTTAACTTATCATCTCACAATCATAACAGTAATATAATTATCTCATATCAAATAAGTGCATGGTTTAATCTTATTTCAATGTTCACATATATTATAATTATTCAAAGCAAATATGTTTCTCCAAAAATAATACATTGTTCACTTTCTATCTATTGGAAATTATTCAATGTCCACACAGCAAACAGGGTAGAAATGCTGGTTATCAAAAACATAAAACCACAAGTCGAACACTTCCCAAGTGTTTAAGACTGTGTGATATATCTTCGAATAATGTGATCAGATCCAAGTAAGGTGGCCTTTTGCAACTGACAGATAGTAATTTTGTCAATATTTATGGCTTGTAAGTGCCGACTAAGATCTTTTGGCACAGCCCTCAGTGTGCCGATAATCACTGGGACCACCTGTACTGGTTTATGCCAGAGGCATTGCAGTTCAATTTTTAGTTCATGATATTGGCTAAGTTTTTCGTCAATTCTACTGTCACCAGGTATGGCAACATCTATGATCCACACTTTTTCTTCTCCACAATCGTGAAGTCTGGCGTATTATGTTCCAGAACTTTATCAGTCTGAATTCGGAAGTCCCATAGTATTTTGACACATTCATTTTCAACTACTTTTTCGGGATTATGTTCCCACCAATTTTTTCCTATAGGTATATGATAGTTGTGGCACAGGTTCCAATGGATCATTTTGGCCACAGAATTGTGTCTCTGTTTATAGTCTGTCTGTGCAATTTTTTTGCAGCAGCTGAGAATATGATCAATAGTTTCATCAGCTTCTTTACACAGTCTGCATGTTGGATCATCAGCAGATTTTATTATTATTATAAGAATGCTGTTTGCTAAAATTAGAATATTTAACAGGAAAATAAATTTTCAAAATACCTACAATTTCTGCACAAATCAATATTTATTTTGCTCTTTAAATTAAATTTAATTTTTACTAAGTACCTAGGGCATAACATTATTTGCTATATTAAATGTCAACATTTCTTACACGTCAGTGGATTATATTTTCGTTTACAATCTAAATTTAAAAACATTATCACAGTTCTGACTTTATCGAATATGATTAAAAATAATTATTTATACATTTATCAATTAAAATACTCACATGACGAATATTGGATAGAGAAGATTAAGTGGAGTAATACTAGTATTAGAAGATTGCCACTGTCTTAATATTGGATGAAACTGAGCGCTATGTAATCTACGCTTCGGCTCTGGAGCTTCGAATGCCATGTTTTAGAATTTCACACCTCTACCACTTCTACGATAACACACGTGATTCGCTGAACAAAATCCTCAATGCCACCTATTAACAAATAGATGAATTAACAAAACAAATAAATATATAAATTTAGTTTATAAGTTATAAAATTTTCATTTATGAAATATATTTAAATAAATTACAATACATTAATTTATATGATCGATTGTTATTTCAACAAGATTATAAATATAAATAAATAAATAAATAATAATCTTTACGTCTCTCGAGTAGGCGGAGTTTATATACGTCACTTCATTCGTCACGTTTATGGAGTATTTGATGAGACGTAGCCCGTTAAAAGTTCATTTCGTTCTTAAAATTAAGGTGCGCTTGAAAAAACAACTGCTAGCTTTATTAGAAGGAAACAAAGGAGGGCAGATGTTACTTTTTTATCATTTTATTTTATACATACTATATATTTAAAAGCAAAACAAAGTCACATAGTTTACACAATTCCCATTGATAAAATTCGGCAAATGTAAGCTCAAATTAAAACTTATGACCTCTAGATGTGTAGAAAGATATAAAATTTTGGATATATTTCGAGTCGATGAAATTATTAAGGATTTTAGCGAGTTTCGATATGTCACGTGACTAGTAGTACTGCACGTCATCTATTATTAGAACCTTTTTCGTTGTATCGATACGATAATTTGAATCTTAAATTAATCGTCTTAAAGCGTAATATTTTGTTAAGAAAATATAAAGCTTCAAATAAATTTATAACGTTACAAATTCTAATTTAAAGTTTTGTCACGTGTGTATTATAACGTGCTTCATTTTCACGCTCTTGTTAATAAGCAAGATGTTATTTTTAAAATATCGAATTTATTACGTGCAGTATTTTACTGTATACATTAAACTTATTTTCTATTCATTAGTTTGATTCACTATTGAATAAAACACTGGAGGTTGCAAGTGTCTACTATGATCAGAGTCAATAGACATACACAATGGCACAGTCAAAATTTAATCTTCGGGAAGCCTAGTTGAACTGATAAAAAAATTTTCAATGCGAATTCAATAAAATTTTCACCTTTGTGACCGCCAATTCATAAGTAATATAAGCTATTAAATATAAAAATACTTGAAATTAAAATGTAAAATAAGAATTAAGTTATCAGATACAACTATATAAATAACAAGATTATATAACAATTATTGTTATATAACTTTAACTTATCATCTCACAATCATAACAGTAATATAATTATCTCATATCAAATAAGTGCATGGTTTAATCTTATTTCAATGNTATAAAGAAATTAGAATGGATGCATGTGTGTATTTTAATTTTTACGTAGAGAAGGTTAATAATTAAAATGTTTTTTTCAATTTAAACCAGTAACTGCACTCTTGCTGCTTAATCTACTTTTTATGTAGATTATCATATTTCTTTGATTATATTATTTTGATATATAGTATAAAATAAAGGAAGAAAAAGTAATAAATACTGCTTAGGCAGAAAAAAGTTTACTAAAATAGAGACTTCAATAATAATGAAAATTTTAATTTTAAAAAAATTTGGAAAATTTACTAGTGTTTTCCTTTTACTTTCGGGGTGCCTTTCGGCCGGATGGCCGAGCGGTCAAGGTGGCAGCTCTTGAGGACCTGGGATCGAATCCGGACGGGTCAAAGAATCCCCAGGAATTTTTCGGGGGGTGGTCCGTTCGGATATGTCGGGCTCCGTCCCTCACCACTCGGTCGCCCCATTGTGGGCCTGGCCGAACCCATAATGGGCTTGCAAAAAGAGGCCCTCTTAGTGCCCACGGGGTGAAAAGAGTTAAAAAAAAAATGTATGTACGTGTGTGAGGGGAACAGTTTTGTTCACCCTCTTTGAAGCTTAATAACTCCTGTGCTTTTTTCAAAATTTTCTGAAATTTTGCAAGGAGATTTGTTTATTAGGAGAATTGATGCTATTAAATTTTAGTAGTTAAAGTTCGAGGAGGAGATAAGGGGAGATCATATGTCATATCTCAAGTAGAGTTGGATTTAATGATGATTTTACTCGTTAACATTTACAGTTTTTTATAAAACCCATCTGTACCCTCAAAATTAAGCTTTTTACCATTTTATAATAGTTAAAAATATAAGAAGTTTTTAAATAAAATATCAGAACAGACGGCGCTACGCGCAGTTTTAAATATTGCCGGGAAAGTTAAGCAATTGGTTGCTAGACCAATTGCTTAACTTTCCTGGTTAAGCAATTCGTCCGGTTTTTTGTTCTGTGATACTAGCCCAGTGTTTCTCAACGGGGGCGATATCGCCCCCATGTCGGCGTTTTTCCATGTTGAGGGCGATTAGTAACAATTTATATTTTGGGGGGCAAAAAACAATTTTTTGGGCGATATAGTAAAACATTGTATTAAGAATAATTAGATATTTTATTCGTTATATCGTTCAATAATTAAACAAATAGCATTATATTAGTCACTAGTCTATTCAATGCAGTACGAATTTGGCGTTAGCCTTGGCCCTGGGCATCGGAATTTTGAAGTGAAGGGAGCGATACTACGTAACGGTTTTATTGAAGGGGGCGATGATTCGTTAGAGGTTGAGACAGTAGCGTAGCGTAGGGGTGCGGAAAAATTTGACAATAAATAATAATAATGTCTTGTAAGAATTTGAACCATTTTAATTCATATTTTCGTCCACCTACGATTCGGACCGATTGAAATGAACACGGAATAGTGGGAATAGTGTTACCATCAGTGTTACCATCTGACTCGTCTTCCGGGGGATATCGTGCGCAACCTGTCGACCTTTTTTTTTATTTGCTTGTACGATTCATTCGTATTCATATACACCTCCAATATCCAAGAGGGCTAAGTCATCTACATAACTTGCGTTATTCCTACCCAAGTCTCCCTAGTCGCTAACTGTAACTGATTTAGAACCAGCATGCACTGCAAATTATTCTTCATTGCAAACTGATATACGCATGCGTCAGGAACTTCTGTTCGAACAAACCTCACCTGCCGTCCGGGTCAGCGATTTTAAAAAGGTGGCAACACTAGCACGGAATTTTTCATTACTTATTCTGTGACGAAACTGAATTTTAGTCTTTTAAATTGAGATACCTAAATAAGGGGGCGGCGAAATTTTCCTCCGCCCCGGGCGACTGACACCCACGCTACGCTACTGGGTTGAGAAACACTGTACTAACCTCTCAGCCACCCGCCCGTCTAATCGAAATTAAGTAAGTAACTTAGGCTCACAAAAATTGAAGATGATTGAGTATTGAAACTATAAATTGGCAAAGGCGCGGTTCTTACAATAATTCCTTTTGGAAAATATTTGATTAGTCAGGTAAAAACAATGTTATCAATAAAATATTTTAACAGTAACAAAAGAAAAACGAATTATGGATTGTTACAATAACCTTTGAAATTTCCTAAAGATTAGTTTTAATATTTCATTATCAGATTTTTAGTGCATTTAATTTTTAATACAGTACTAAGATAAATTGATAAATTTTGATAAAATTTTGCGTGATGAATAATTATATATTTTGCGAAAGATAAGAGATTATTTATAAATATAAAAGACATATGACTAATTTTATATACTGAAGACCCGAATCATAAAAATTTGTTCTTTAAAATTAATAATAATACGATTTTTTTGATTGTATTAAATTGATGGTATAATGTAACGCAACAGATGGGCGATTTGCCAAGGAGACAAGGTCGGTGCTATAATATGGGCAAACAGGGCATTTGCCTAGAGCGGTAGATTTTCATAAATTTGTACAAAATTTTCAGGCGTATTATTTTTTTAAATATTTTTAATTTTTATTTACATTACACAGCGCGAGTTGAATACTGATTGACGAAGCGAGGTATAGCATTTCTAACTGGTATGTCATTTCAGAATAAATTTTTTTGTAATTTTATGTAGGGGGATAAGGAGTGTGAAATACATGTCTTGCCCTGGGCAGCATAAATTCTAGCGCCGGCTCTGCAAGGGAGAGTATATGAAGAACTTTACGGACAGTTGGCCTCTATTTATGACTGTTCAGGAGTTTTATCCAACAGCTCACTAGTGGGTCAAATAATAATAACAATGAATAAGAAGAAAACAACTATTTAAATACGAGTATACATGTAAACGTAAAACGACCTATGTCGAAGACAGTTAAGTCGTCATCCTACTGCTCTGGAGACTCCGGGCAGTCTAAAAATCTCCAGAAATTAGTCAGAGGGTCTTGTTCCTTATTCTAGATACGCCAGGCTCCGTCCCTTACCACCGCTTTGCCCACATTGTGGGCTTGTCCCAATCCACCTTCGGTATAGAAAAAAAAAGCCCACTTAGTGCTTATAGCGCGGAAAGAGCAACATATATACTGCTCTTCAGTGGTTTATATCAGTTATAAATATATATATATAACCATATTTATATATCATTTGAAAATCATATTAATGTCGTTATTTATTAATTTAAACCAGGGCTGTGGAGTCGGAGTCGGAGTCGTGGAGTTTTGGTGTTTTAGCCGGAGTCGGAGTCGTCAAAAAATCCGCCGACTCCGACTCCCTTTTACTTACCAAATTGTTATGTATATGAAACGGAGTCGGAGTCGGAGTCGGATGGTAAGGAAAAGTCGGAGTCGGAGTTGGAGTCGGTAGATTTTTACGCGACTCCACAGCCCTGATTTAAACATTATTGCAACTAATCTTAATACAGTATTGACAAATCAATATAAACATTAGAACATAAGTTTTGTTCGATTTTATTAAGTTATAACCAGTGCTTTTTTGGGGGAAAAAAAGGTGGTGGAACGCTCATCTCATTACTAAAAATATATTACATGCATTGTACACGAGATTCGGCACACAAGCAGGAGCAGGACCGTCTTAATAATTTTGTTGCCTATCTTCTATGCCCAACAGAGCGATTCAACGCGGACCAAACATCAAATTTTCAAAAATTCTCTTAATAATTTTAAAATATATCGAAAAAAGGTGGTGGAACAATTTTAAAATATATCGAAAAAAGGTGGTGGAACGCCGTTCCATCGACGTTTAGTAAAAAAAAAAAAAAAA